CATGGAAGCTCTAAGGGAGCTCATCATCTATCCTTTTCTCTACGCAAACGAGTCGCGCAAGCTTGGCCTAAAGGCATGCCTTTTCCCCTTCTTCTAGCTTCTTTTTTGTTGCAGAAGGTTTGTGCCCTTCTTCGGTCTTTGTTTTCTCAATTGATTCTTGGTTGATTGGGATCTTCCTGCAGTGGCCCAGAGGGTTGCTTCTCTATGGTCCGCCAGGCACTGGAAAGGTATCACCTTTTTTCCATGACCAAACTAGTCTGTTTTTTTGTGAATTCAATTTTGGCCAGTACAGACACTGCTTGTGGAAGTTCTCATTCAAAGATTTAATCGTGAAGGAAAAATAAAAGATAAAAGAAAATATAACTGCTTGTAGTTATGTAATACCTAAGTTTGATCCCGCAGCAGGAGAGGATAAAGGCTTGATGTGTATAGTGTATACTATCATTAACTTTGGCTTAAGCATGATGTTGGCTAGGCTCGACAAAGTTAATGAGTCAGTTATTCTGTCGAACTAGATTATTTCATTAATAGCTGAATTTGGTTGATCTAATTCATTTTAAGAAAGCACTAATCCTCATGAAAATTATCTCTGTTTTTTGTATGTGTATTTGCAAATGAGAAGCTTTAGTGCAGTTGCTCTTGTGAATTTATGTTAGTATTTGTAGACATTTCTGCTATTGTGACACTTGTTCATGATCATCTTATTGTTGTCATCTGAGAGGAAGATTTGCTATCTTATCATTTACCTCACATGTGGATGTTGTTGTGTCTCAGACTAGCCTGGTCCAAGCTGTTGTTCGTGAATGTGATGCACATCTGACTATGATCAAGTAATGGAGAAAAATTACAGAGAGATGCCATTTTTTCATTAAATAAAGTTGATGCTAGTGCCTTTTACTCATCAAACATATTCCATGTATCCTTGTACATGTCATTGATGTTCTTTTTCGGTTTTATGTCTGTTCCCCATAGCCCTTATTCTGTTCATAAATCACATGCTGGAGAAAGTGAAAAATTTTTGCGAGAAGCATTCTCTCAAGCATATTCGTATGCGTCATCAGGGAAGCCATCTGTCATATTCATTGATGAAATTGATGCCATTTGTCCCCGTCGCAGTTCTAGGTATGTTTGTGAGTTTTGCCCCCTTTCTTTTTCAGCTGAAGTTTGAATAATTCTTTGGTCAGGAGGGAGCAGGAATCTCGTATAGTGGGTCAGCTTCTAACCTTGATGGATGGAAGTAAGTCTTCATCCAGATCCCATCTACATATTGTTGTCGTAGCATCAACTAACAGGTTAGACATTTAAGTGTGTATGAACCAACTCAATGTTTAAGTGGTTTCTAGAAATTTGTTTCCATCCGAAGAATCCGACTGTCTCAATTATATGAAGTTAAGATGGATAATTGGTTTTGCATGTGTCTTGTTAGGGTTGATGGCATTGACCCAGCATTGCGAAGGCCTGGGCGCTTTGATTCTGAGATAGAAGTTACAGTTCCTACAATTGAAGAACGATTGCAGATTCTTGAGGTCTGACTTGTTCCATATCTCGTTGTCATCACTCTGATTGTAGAACATCTTGGTATACTTTTGAGTAAATTGCTCGATCAAAGTAGCTGATTTGAAAGGTCACTTGCTGGTACCATCACATGGTTTTAGCATATTGAGAGGCTGTGCTTCATCTTTACAACTTAATGCAAACTTAATTTGCTCCAGCTGTATTCGAAGAATCTTCAACTGGATGAAAATGTGGATCTGCAATCTATTGCTGCATCATGTAATGGATATGTTGGTGCTGATTTAGAAGCCCTTTGTCGAGAAGCTGCTAGGTTTGCATATCGTAGGTTAGACTCTAGGGATAAAGATGCACTTATCTTAAAAATGGAAGACTGGGAGAACGCTAGAGCTGAGGTTGGTCCAAGTATGACAAGAGGCATTACTAAAGAAGTTTCGAAGGTGTCATGGGATGATATTGGAGGATTAAAAGATTTGAAGGTTAGATCCTTCACACATTTTCAATCTACTCATGTCTTGGCTAACCTTTTTCTCTAACTAGACCTTAATGTCAATAACAGAAAAAGCTTCAGCAGGCTGTTGAATGGCCTATTAAGCATGCTGATTCATTCGCAAGACTAGGAATATCACCAGTACGAGGTGTTCTGCTGCACGGGCCACCTGGGTGCTCAAAAACGACCCTTGCTAAGGCTGCAGCTAATGCTGCCCAGGCTTCTTTCTTTTCCTTGAGGTTGTCTTTCCAACTCAATGTGTAAATGTTTTCCTAGTTTCCACTTGTTAAATAAAAAATATTTCTAAAATGCTTTAAATCATTATATGTAAAAATAACCATGATGGTAAGCAACACAAGAGTGATACTTGTGATACATGTTTAGGTGGAAGGTGCAGGGTTTTGTTGCAAGTTTTTTGCATAGTATAAACTAAGCAATGGTGAAAGACTGATGTAGGCTGCAATACGGACAAAGGTCTCACTTCATTTTCACCATTGTCTTATCAATGTTGTTGTCATTACTTGCGATGACTTTCCGGAGACCTTGAATTCAGGCATGACTTTGACTTTCCCAATGGGTTTTGTTGTCATTTTCACCTCATGCTATTTCATGCACAAATTGCTATCCAGGCATGACTTTGAATTTTAGAGATTTGTGATTGTCATATTCTCTTATGCTTGGTTTTTCTTTTTGACTTGTGTATTGTCTTTGATAATATGTAATTGATGATGCAGTGGTGCTGAACTGTATTCCAAGTATGTTGGAGAAGGGGAAGCATTGTTGCGAAGAACATTTCAGAAGGCACGCCTTGCTGCACCTAGCATAGTATTCTTTGATGAGGCTGATGCCATTGCTCCCAAACGGTTAGCATTAAAATGGCCCATGTGCTGCTTTAACCTAATTTTTAATGGGGCTAATGACAGTCTGTACATACAAGCACTTGCAGCCCGAGGCACCTTTGGATAGAACTAGTCTGGAAGTATCTCATTTCAAATTAAAAAATGTAATAGGCATCCTTTTATAAGTGTGCTTCCTTCAGACACATATCTAAGTGACAAAATATGTAGGTGGAGTTTTTTCTTTCTGTAGTTCTTTTGAGCTGTGGAGAGCCAGGTAATTAAGCTGAATCTTTTTCGTTTGTGGTGCCTTCGACCCTTACTTTCTTTTAGTACTAGGTTTAGGTACCATAAGAACACAGCCTCAGGAAGTCCTCTATTTTGTGCTCTTTAAAGGGGATTGAAACGCTTGACAGTTTCCTACTCTGTACTACATGGATTAGTTCCTTTTAGTGCTGTCAGGTTATCTTCATGATTACATAAACATGATGATTATTGGACTAGAACATGTTTATCCCACTGTTTATATGTGACGAAATGTTCCCTATTGTAGTGGTCATGGCGGGAGCTCAGGCGGCAATGTCAGTGTTGGAGAAAGACTTCTGTCTACCTTATTGACCGAAATGGATGGTCTAGAACTAGCCACGGTAGCGCTCTACCCATTGATAAGCTCTAAAAAATGAGGAGGGCTTATCCTCTTTGACAACTTTTCTGTCTAATTTCCATTATTGCACTTACAGGGAATCATTGTACTGGCTGCTACTAATCGTCCCCACGTGTTAGATGCTGCTCTTATGCGTCCAGGCCGTTTTGATTTGGTATGTACATACAGTAACATCCTATTACGTACAGTAACATCTTGTCTCATGTAGGTACAGTTTTGCAGTGTTCTTAACATTTTAGATGTTGGACCTGGAGATTTATCTGAAGACTTTATTTTGGCTATCTCTTACTTACTTTCCTTGCCTTTGTAAAGATCTATCTTGTTTTGCTTATGGCTTTATTCCCTTCTAGAAAAAGGATGGAGTATTTGAAAGTAATTTCTGGATTACATTATATCTTCATACTGGCTTGACTAAGAACATATTTATGAACCCAAAATGTCATGTAAATTTTCCATGCTATAATCGATTTCCTTTACTTTTGTTGTTGTCGATGACAATACTGTTGAGTTTCTTTAGTATTATGTATGTGAGCACGTGCATGCTGTCTGTGTATTCGGGCAATATCTTTTTTATTACACATCGAAGCTAATGGACCGATATCATGTATGCTAACTCGAGTGCTATTTTGTACCTGAATGAAGACGCAAATCATGTCTCGGTCAATTGCACCATTTTCTAACATTAGACCTTGTTGACCACACTATCTTAACAACTCGCAATATTTATGGCTGTGCTGTAGGTGCTGTATGTGCCACCTCCTGATGCAGAAGGCCGTCATGAAATATTAGGCATCCATACAAGACACATGAAGTTAGGGGAAGATGTGGATCTTAGAAAGGTCGCGGAGTCTACTGATCATTTTACTGGCGCTGATCTAGAAGGCCTGTGCAGAGAAGCCGGCATGGTGGCTCTCAGGGAAGACATGTCGGCTGATTCTGTTTGCAATCGTCATTTCCAGACAGCAAGAGATTCACTGAGACCCTCCTTGACTAAATCAATGATTGAAGAGTATGCCAGCGCAAGAATTCGTAGATAAAGCATCTTTTCAAGGCTCAATTTCTACATGTACTTGTTTAGGTTCCTAACTTGGTACTCAGTGGGCTCCTGTATCAGACAATTCTATGTCGTATTGGTATCTGATATCTGATTGCAGGAAGAGTATCGATATCAGTGGAGATGTTCTGATTGATTCCCCATCAGGAAAAGCATGTCTGATGCTAAATATCATGAATTGTGGGTAAAATAGTTTGTTGAAGATCCATGTATTCAGATGTTAACAGTAGATTAAAAAAATGAAGTTTTGTGTGCTTTCTATTTGTTTTACAGAACCCTACACATTCCTCTATATTTTGTTTCTATGCTGCTATTTATTTTGGCAAAAGTAGATATGAATAACAACCATTTAAAATTGGTTTCATGAATCTTTTGCAATCACTAAACTTTATAAAACATAAGATTATGTCAAATCTCAAGAACATGTATTGGCCAAAACAATTATCTTTAATGAGATGTCATTGAGGCTCACTATTTGCAAGGGGTTAATGTACGATGTCATTGAGAATTACATTTGATTAAAGATACTAAACAGACACATAAGTGAAGCCACTCCATAACCACTGCAAAATTTAACAGAAGTGATAGCAAAACCATACATAATCCACAGATGAGTATGGACCAACTTTATCGGCACAGCGACATCGTTCAAAATACTGTTCCTATAAGCCAACAACATGTACGCACAGATGAGTAATTGGAGCAGAATGAAACTATGAACAGGATATCAGCAGCAGTTGAGACCTAATTAGCCAGGTCTGTCATGGCTTGCTCATACTCGCAGCACTGTGAAGCAAAAACAGTGTCAATAAGAGGTGTGATGCATGAGACATGATCATGATGTTTTAAGATATTTGCTAAATAAGACTTTGAATAACTCACGGTAAATCACCATTCCGATGCTTCCTCTCCATGACTTTCTTCCAATGATTATGCTCAAATTTCAAGGCCTTGTCATGCCAGCTGCAGAAAGGAAAGAAGTTGAGCGCAACGCATGAAACGTCACAACTAATCCAAGGCGGGATGTCTTGCAAAGGAAAAAGGGGGGAAAAAAGGCAAAAAGCATGTGCTGCTTGTAGCAATAGGAGCAAAAGATGTATTGAATTAATACCATAAAATAAGAATTAAAACAATCAAAACATAAAATGTGCTATCTGATCTGCTTTTAGCTTTTGATTCCACGATAACACCTTAAATTTAGTGTCATAAGAAAAACTTGGATAAAGAATGCACTCAACACATAGAAATGCTTCTTTAAATTAGTGACAAAAACATTTGAGCAGACAACTAATAAAACATAAAGGATAAAGTGAATTGATTTGGATACTCAGCAAGGAGGTAATAAAATCTCTAAACAAAAAAATGAAAAAATATCAATATAGGGTACAAACAACATTTGAGCAGACAACTAATAAAACATAAAGGATAAAGTGAATTGATTTGGATACTCAGCAAGGAGGTAATAAAATCTCTAAACAAAAAATGGAAAATATCAATATAGGGTACAAACATGGCATAAGGATGTGAATGAAAGATCATTAATCCAAAAATAGTTTTCTTGGTGGAAACTAAAAACACAAAATCGTATTACTATAACTAGGAAACCACAAAGTTTGCATTTCCCACTACAAGCGTTTGTCACCCACTGTACTTCCTTCAAAAGGAAATGCAAGTCCAAAGACTCCAAACAAATCCAGAAACCAAATGATTCCCCACAAAAACAAAATGCAACAAAACTCACAACACTAGTATTGGCTTCTGTTCATAACAAAATTTTCTGTGGAACTTAGCTAGACAAACTACAACTGTATGCAGTTCTCACTCCTGCTCTCGTACTTCATCATTTTCCTTAGACGGATGATATTCCACTATAGATAATATCTATCAATTTACTTGTTGAACTCCAAACCACCAACATCCAACCAAATATACGTCTCCTGATTACACATATCATGAAGACTTCTGATTTTACATCCACCAAATTGCATGTGACCATTATCTTTTATGGGGTCATTTTTTAAACTTCTGTAATGGTGACCCTTTCCGAGATCAATCCTTTGCCTTAATCACAAAAGCAAAATATGTTACCAAAATTTCACCAAGATGGCAACAATATTACTTATCAAGGATTAAACTCTTTTGTCACCTAGCAAAAGGTTGTCCAATCTTTTGTTACTTACTAACAACCATCTACGTGAGGAGCAAGCCATAAAAAAACTGCAAATAGATTCTTTAAAGTTGTTAATTTTTTCTTCCTCAACATTCACATCCCTTCTACACTGACAAGGAAAAATAGAAACTATGGCAAAGCTCATTGTACAAGACAGCACTAAAACAAATTTGATCAAGGTCAAGGGCTATCAAATATTATGGATGTTCAAAGGTCCGACCTTCGATTCAACAAGCATTTTATGCAACACAATTAAAATATAATTACAGGACCAAAATTGCATCTTGATTTCAACGTCAGATAGATCCTTTAGAAACATCTCACCGAAAGACATCGTAAATAGTTTTAAACTATCAAGCAATAAGCTAAGCCTCGACAGGCAACACTCATGATTTCCTAATACATCTTGCAGAACGATGCAGGTAAAGGTAGCACCAAAAAGACCTACTCTGATTGATATCAAAGGCCATGGAACATCATAGATGTCCCAAGACGCAGCCTTTAAGGATGCCACGCTACGGTTCCTCCTCCTTCCCTTCCTACCCAAGGCTGAAGCTACTGAGATCATATGAAGCCGGAAAAGAGGGACCGAAAAGGGAATATAAACCTACCTAAGAAGGCAAGAAATGATATACCAACGTCAACAAAGATGGGGAAGCGAAAAGAGAGAAACCCTAAGGGCGAAGATACATAGTGAACCAGAGAGAGAGAGAGACGACGTACTTGAAGCGCCGGGAGAGGTCGGCGGTGCGAGAGGTGCACCAGGAGACGGCGGCGAAGGCGAAGGAGCCCAAACATGAATGGAGGTAGCGGTCCGGATCAGAGTGGGGCACCCCGGGGTCGCCACGATACACCTTCCGGAACAGGTCCTCCATGGATTCCTCGTTCTCTTCCGCGCTTCCTTCCTCGCCTTCCACCGACCCAGTTATGGTTGGCCTCGGGACCGACCTAACTCGTGAGACAAGTCGAGGCAGAGGGCCTCCACCTCCTCAGGGAGGGGGGGCCGACCTGAGTCGTGACACAAGTGGTACTGTGGAGCCATCGCCTTTGCCGCTGCCTGCCTTGAGTCGCAAGTCAAGAAGCGAAGCACCCAAGAAATCCTCGCCGTCCGCTTCTGAGATTTTGGGATCCACTGTGGGCTTCTTTAGATGATCCGATTCGATATTTAGATGCCTCGATACCAAAGAACAGTCATGTTTCTAATGCACAAATTTAATGAGATGGACGGATGAAGACTAATACAAGTTTATGTGTCGTATAGCATGATACGAATAGATCCTCCAACTCGATCTCCTGCAAACTCAATTAGATGGAAGGAGACAAGCTAAATTCTGTGAGCAAACACGCATGAGAACAAGTTGCTATTTCTTTGGAGGTATCGAAGGAGATAAAAAATGGAAAAGCAACAGGAAAGATGACGTCAGTTGACTGATCTACTTGCTACGATAATGTGTAACAGTGCTGCATGCAGAAGAGGCGTCCCAAGAACAATGTGTGGTCACAGTGCTCATTGCTACTAAATTCCATACCCCTTTGATGAACATATGAAATAAAAGGGTGTCTGATGATATTGCCTGCTTGATCAGATCCAGCGCTTCTTGATTCCGGCCCACACCAGGGCAGCGACTACGGCCCCACCTAAATGTGCTGAACCTGAAATGTGTCCCTCGCCCTGAGGAATGAGAAGATAAAAAGAGATTAATCACACCATGATCAGCCTAAATAATAAAGCCAAGTTCTTGGTTTTTCGAAAACAAGTTTATCGTCGCAAGGGAGTCGAGTAATTTAAGGCAAATGAAGAGAAATTGTGCTGCTCGACGTGAAAGTTGCTGATACAAGAAAAGAAAAGAAAGCAAATTCCTCATGGGTGGATAAAAAACTTAAAAGCCAGACGGAAACACCACAAATATACATATGAAAATTGGCCACTTTTAGAGCACATTAGATTCTATCAAGCACACGTTGGCAAGAAGTAAACAGAAGGGAAGATAGTGAGATCCTCTGCAACCAACACAGGTCTCAACAAGTAAACAGAAGTGACTAGAGTAGCCCGTCAAAGCAAACGTTATGCGTTAGATCGAACTACCAACTTGTTACTAAATAACTGAATTGTATTCCATTGTATAAAATCAAAAGCAACGTCAGATCACAAAGCAGCTAAAGATTAGAGAAGGTTGGCAAGAAGTGACGAGGCAGAACCTATGACGGAAAATGACTCACTCTGCGAGGGGGGACTTTCACAGCCTAGCAATCCATTCAGTGGTTTTAGAGTATTTGTGCTCCTATTGTTATGAATGCAGAAAAATATAAGCTCCAAGGCTGAGTTTTAACATTCGACATACCTGCTTAATCCTCCACAAATCAGTTCCAATCAAGAATGCTCCCTGTAATGACATAGCAGAGGCTAAGTTATGGACATGTAACACAATATTTTCTTAAAAATCAAAGAGCACAAACTTACCATTAATACTGCAGGCACAGGTATAATGAAGTTGATATAGTATATATTTTTTGGGAAAAGAAACACATTAAGAAGAATTATGGCATTTACGGCAGCACTTGCACCCTGCATGACATGGTGGCATAAGATTTAGAATAAATATAAAGAGAAGTAGAATTTTTGTATTAAATGAAAATGAAGAAAAGGACAGGGCATAAGTAGCTTAGTATTGAGCGATCACACAGAAGTGGAACTGGAAATATACAAACAGATATGCTAAAGCTATGTTAACGAGTCTGGTAAAGCATACCGGCATTTGGCATTGTTCAGATGCATATGGATGATTAAGGAGGAAGTGCGATACTTCCTCTTAATTGACATACTTCTCTATTTACCTTCATGGATAAAGTAAGACTAAGGAAGATCATTTTTGATAAATAATGGAGCATCTATAGTGGGAGGAGATCTGTGGTATAGTAGTTGAGAAAGTAATATCACATTTATCTTTTATATGTATATGTTTGTGTTTAGAAACAATGAATAAAGATATGAAATATGAGTAGCTACATATGTGTGCATATGCATCCTGAATGACATGGCTAGAGACAAAACATACCAGTGCAGGAATTCTTGATTCATCCCATCCTCGATAACCCTAAAGATATCAAGATGGAGATCCAAATTACATAAGGTTATTTAATTGATAGGGAAATGATAAAAAAAAAAATCGAAGCATCAGTGAGAACTTATATTTCTGAAGGAAAATATGATGCTTGATCTCAAAATAGCAGTAGTTATGTCTGTTACCTTTGAAGACGGAACCATAAATGCCTTGTGCACCAAGTAGAAAATTGATCCACCTAATGCACCAGCTAAGTACAATTTCAGCAAAAAATCAGGACCAAATAGGTTGCCAATCTGTTTGCCACGATTAGTTTCTGATAAATTAGTCAATATATCTCAATACTGTCAGAACTGCAATACACAAGAAACTTTAGGGACAACTGTTACCCTTACAAAACATGCTTTGACAAAAGTAAGAACAAACAGGATATCAAGATTGCAAATATTAAGACCTTGTAATTCATCTATCAGGAATCACGTCCATGAAATAGTAGTAATCATATGGTTGTGCTTATGTAACTAAAATACGATAATGAATAAGGTTTAAAACAGAACTATTCTAAGAGTGCTCTAAATTAAATAATTAATAGCCTTGACTAGAGAATTTTTTATTTTCAACAACAAATGATCTTTCATGTATTCTACAGTAACCTTACTCTTAAGATTGCCTGAAAATAATTAAGGAGAAGACCTTTTCCAAGAATCACACCCTTTCGACATTTACCATGTATATATATTTGTGTTTTCAATACCACATTTGTAGCTCATTTAATTCCATCAATACCAACACTTAACACCCAAGTCCATCCCTATTTCCATGCAAGTGATAATGTTCAGAAATAATGAATGTTCAGCCTCGGACCACAACTCATGATTCTAAAACTGTCATACTCACCTATTCTTCTGAATTCCGATAGCTGCCCATCATGTAATTGTTCTAGCCACTTAATATGTTTTTCCTGTAAATGTATCTTCAATTCATAATTAGGTTTACTATCTCATTGTACAAGAGACAGACGACCTTGAGACTCTTAACCAAATTTTCTGCAATAATTTCTAATATATTCAATAGGCACACACATGGGTTAACATTCTCAAGTTCGAAATACATGACTACAATCTCCAAATATCTGCAAGTGAATTTTCCTCCATTGTCTGCAGATAGCTATGTTGCTAAAACTAACCCCTTGGTAATTTACATCAACTCAAGTTTCGAAGCACTCAAGGATAAATACAACCAAACAACATTCATTTATGATAAACCATTGAAATTTGAAAACCAAAAATGAAATTTCATGTAACAGATCTTACACTTGATCCGAAGAAGTAAAGGCCGATCATATTTGTCACAAGATGGCTGGTATCAGAATGACTAAATGAACTCGTAATCAAAGTGTGCAAGCGGCCACTTTTAAAATTGTCAAGTGAAATCTGCTCAATGGATACCAGACTAACAAAATTAAATTCCCATATTTGTCATCAGGTAGCATGTAAGCAACAAAACACCTACAGTGCCAAGATTAAGGCTGCAGTCCTGTTAGTTCTAACAGGAATATAGGTTGATTCACGATAGAAATAGCAACAAGCAATAACAGTTCCTGCAAAGTTAATACCATAAAGTGTTTCCTCATGAATGCAGGATCAGCAATCCGCCATAATAAGAAAACAGCAACATTAGCTCCAATCAAACCAAAGACCACTCCGTCTCCATTTGCTAACGGCATCAATTTTCTCCTGCGATAAGGAAACAGAAAGCTTGTGCATGTCCTAACAAATCAAAAGTTTGCACATACGACTTGGCAGCTTAAGCTCAGAAATCCTATGTATGAAATAAAAGGAAAAAAAAAGTCCATAAAACCTTAATTCGAATCGAGATATCTTCGATTTCTTTTCAGAACAAATCAATTTCAATGGCTACCTTAGTTCCTACGGAGGATGAGGATCATTGATCGATTATAACAAACAGCTGTGGGACCATCGCCGCGTACAATTTGTCAGCAAAAAAAAACAAGCCAAAATTTCTTCGGAAGAATCGAATGTAGTTACCAGAGAGGGAATCCATGCGAAGAGAGGAGTCGTTTGGGATCAAATCCGGACCGCCGCTGGAAAGAGATCTTGAGCGCGCGGACCCCGTCAAGGACGAGACCCTTGAGGCCGACCGCAGGCGCGGCGCAGAAATGGGCTCTCGTCGCCGCCTGCGATGGCCGGGAGAACAGATGACGGGTGGCGAGGCCGGAGGGGAGAGGGTTGGCTTCCGATCGCCACGGACGGGGGAGGCGGCCAGAGAGAGAAGAAGCGCCGTGGGATTCGGGCGCCGAGGAGAGAAGGAAGCGGCCATGGGAAGAGGAAATGGGATTCCTTCCTTCCTTCCAGAAGAGATGGAGGAGAAGCGAGTGATTCCTCCGCATCTCCTCGGTCTTCGTTCGCGTTGTCTTCGTGGAAGCCTCTGCCACTCTTCCCTTCTTTCTCAGCAGTAGGACATGTCCTCTTTATTCTCCTCCTCGGTGATCCGTCGCGGTTTGGTTCGGTTCGCTTTGGATTATCGGGCACACTCCTTATTCCGGTTCACGTTGCGGTTTATTTTGCACGAGTGACGCACGCTCGCTCTCTGCGGTCTATCGTCGTTATCTCGGGTGTGCACTCTCTCGTAACTCAACGACAACAATATATTACATAATTGAAGCTACCCAATCCGCAGAAGACGAGCGTTCGAGAAATCATGTCTTCTCAAGGGTCTTGACACCGATCTTAAAGCATCCTAAGGCCCATCATACCCTGGCCAACTGATGTTTGGCAAGAACTGTGCGACGCTCATCTCTTCTCGCGGGTCGCTTTGACACCGATCTTAAAGCATACCAAGGCGGCCCATCAGACCGTGGCCACCTGCTATTTGGCAAAGAACTGTGCTGCGCTCATCTCTTCTCACTCGTCGCTTAATCATGGGTGCTGCAGAAACAAAAAACACTGAAGTGCAGGCGAAACAACTGAGAGAAAAATTGCAGAAGAACAAGACAAAAAGATTCAAAAACACTCCAAAATTCATGCTATACAGATCTGTATGGAAGATATAACAGATTCTGAGGAGCTATGCAGATGGTTCAACACACGCAATGCAGCTCCAACAGGAAACAAAGAAGAACCCTGTACATGAATGGGCTCTAGACTCACAAGCAAAAGCAATAATAATAATAATAATAAAGGAAAGAAAAAAAAAAGAAAGGAGAGAAAATATGAAGAAGGCCTTCCGCAACCGCAAGAGAAAAATCCTATTTTCCCCACTCTTGAGATTTCTTCTGTACATTGTTTTTTTTCCTCATACGGCAATCCAAAATCTTAAGCCTCTCCCACCTCCTTTCACATTTTTGACCTCAGCTGAGTAAATAACCCAAGAAAATTGAAAGCCCCTTCCGCATTCGGTAAAGCAACCAACCACAACCCACCATATTGCAGAAGTAATCATTCGACTCCGGATATTTCAAAACATGAGAGACAGAGGATCATGCTTCAAGTTTGGCCCCAAAGTCGGCCTCACCTAGAAAAATTGGCTTGTGTCGATCTGAATCCTTTGTAGAAGCTGGAGGGTAACCCACTGCATCACAAGAAGCTTCTCCATTTGCATAGGCGGAGATACCTCCCTGATGATTCTCTTCGCCACCACTGACAGTCCTTGATCTGCTCCTTGACCTGACATTAGTGCCCACAGGAAAGGGCTCCTACAATCGAAAAATTAAACACTTGAAAACTCCAAGTAACTACCGATAGAAATTAATAACTACTCAATGATATGGTAGACGCAGACCTACAGCATGATCATCAACTACCAAATTCAAACGTGAAGAGGATATATGATATAGAAAGAATTTGGTGCAATAGGCATAATGTGTGGAACAAACCTAAGATAGGCATGGAGTTCAGCATGCAGCAAAAGGGTCTCCTATCTGACATTCTAATTAAGACGCATGGTGACTAGACAATCATAAGGCCAGCTAATAATGAAAGTTTTTGACGGCAAATTATCACCATATATTTCAAAATAGATGATATTAAGTTCTTGGAACAATGGCCAACTGCATAGCACATACTTTGTGAACTGTAGTTTATTTCCAAATACGTCAAATTCTAGCTCAGATCTTCACATTTAATAATTATTGGAAGATGAGGATAGATGATGTGTTCACTGCTGTTTTAACTACTAAATATCAGCTTATATTTCCTTCTACACTTTCCAATGAGAAAATTTAGCAAACTTCAAATCACTGTCGCTTCAACTTCACTTGAGAGTCAACAAAAAATAAAGGCATCTAACATTCTTGAATGAAAAATCTAATTAATTTATTAAGAAAGTTTGCATATGGTACATGTTCTTTTGGCTTTCTCAATCAGATCGGTCACAAGATCACACCTGCTTAACAAAGTGGAAGAATACAACATTATTATAGGATGTATCTCACAGTTCAAAAGGTTCATGTCAGTCTTACAACTACAATCTCAATGTTTAGTTAAGGAGCTCCTATTAGATATGTTATGCTTAAAGCTCCAAAAGATCCTTCAAAAAAATACCATGATAGGTTTTAATAACTCAAAGAGATAAAATGTCACTGAATATATTTTTCTAAAGTTCGCACAAGAATGTATTTGTTTTTGACATTTCTTGTTAAAGACTTCCCTTCTTATGGATAATTATTTATATATATTTTAGTACCTAATATATATGGAAATACCAAAAAGAAAGAATATTTCATACAATTCTTGAGACCTAAGCTTATTGTAATCATATAGATGTCATTGTCACCACCTCTAAGCACAATCTTGGCTTGTCACTACTTAAACTAACTCCAGGATATGTATAAGATATTGGATTTTTAAGCCATACAGAATAGAAATATGAATGTCGTAATATGTTAATCCTGGTATAGAAAAAGAATGTGACACAGTGACAGTGGAAGGGATCTTGTAATCAGCATATTTTATTAGTGATACTATTTTGTCAACAAAAACCAACAATTGAAGTTGCTGGATGAACTACCAGAAATCAGGAGCACAAGACAATAAAGCAATCAGAACAATAAAAATTGTAGTACATGTGCCTCATACCTGATCCCCAGCATTAGGACCATCTGTATGGAAGAGGATAGGACGGCAACGCTTATCTTCATTCATCAGACTTGAGTTCTGGAAATGAGCAATAAGAGCTGTTTTCCCTTGGATTCGAGCATATGCAAGTGACGCCACCTTTTCACTGTTAAACTTCTCCCATTTCTTACCATTAAATGACTGCAGAAAAGCCAACATTTTAGCATCTCGCAACTTCAAATGTGAAAAATTATTTGCTAGTACAACAACCTAGCTAAACAGAATGATGATAAACGAAGCTAAAATTAAAACAGAAAGAAAAAACTGATATCTATGATAAAAATTACAAACTAGTAGGTAGAAACTTAGATACGAAGCTACATTACAGGAAAATCTTTCAACATGTTGAGGTTGTATATATATATATATATATATATATATATATATACACATTGCTCATATATATTGGATGGAACTGGCGGACTTTCAGTGGCTTAAAGTCAGTGAGATGTATCAAACCTGATAGAAAGGAATAATATGTTGCGGGTTGATCATGTTTATAAATGCATAGCCAACGTTGCATTTGTTCTGAAAAGTGAAAGGGTGAACGCAGCCAATTAGATGGTCAATAACAGACACAGGTATGCACATCAATAGCAAGTTATACAAAGGATACTGTAGGTACCTTAAAATCTATTGGCAAATAGATGAAGTCATAAGTTCCTCGATGGTTTTCATCAATAGCAGCCAAGAGCATCTTAGATGTGTACCTAAATAAACCAGGAAGAACTGTTCAAAGGGAAACAATAACAAGTGCATACGTTGCATCCACATAGACAAAAAGAAGGATGATGTAGATAAAGGTCAAGAATTCAGCATACTTGTTAGGGATGTTCTTTATCATAAGTGTCGTTCGAGAGTCTTCACCACGTATAATGCGTTCAATATCAAGTTCATACTGCTTTTTGTTATCACACTGATTCACATTTGTGTCATTTCTTCGGCTCCTTATCCGGTCAGTAGAACCATCAAATGGACCAGTAACAGGGAACATGGGATTTCTTCCATGGAACATGTGGCCCCTTTGCTGAGGGGAAGGAATCCTGATGTGTGCAGGAGAAAGACAAGGATCCAGACAGTTGCCACTGGAAGGTGAAAAGATGTTACGAGAAGCAAGTTCTAGTGATTTCAACTGTGGAATTGCAGAAAGCCCCATATTTCCAAGAGATCCAGGATGAAAAGCAGGTTGCTCCATGGAATCCCCAGCATAGGCATGTCTCCCATCCAAAAGTGATGGATTGACAGAAGGTGCCGAACCGACATGATGGTGTAAAGTGTTTAACAGATGAGATTGTGCTCTAGGAATTCCATGGATCTGAGATGGTTGATGAGCAGGAATATTGTTTATAAGCAATGAAGAATTTGACCATAACATGGAGCCAGGGGGTTTATGGGGGAATGCATTTGTATTAGTCCAAACATACTGATGTCCTTGAAGAGGATAACTTCCATTTGAGGAAACACCAAAAGCTGTAAAGATAATTGAACACATTACATAATTAGCAAGCAATAAAGGGAAAGTGGTCTTAAAATATCAATATAACAGGCAATAACTACCATCATAAAGCTCAAAAACTAATTAGATTCATAAAGTGTCATCTGAATCTCAGATTTTATAACTTGTTTTAGTATGAAAATGAACAAAGAAGGTGTTAAATATATAACTAGTGACCAAAAGCAATTTTAACTTAAGTGTGGAACATATATTAATGACAACAATACTATTTTGTCCAAATGAATGTTCTATTCAACTTAGTACCTTCATTAGCATTAAAAGAATGCCCATTGAAGCTACCAGAGCCTACTTTCTGCAGATGCCTTTTGTCAATTCCTCCAGAAGGTCTGGAGATGACCCCAATACCCATGGTTGAAGTAGTATTCGAGTTATAAGGGATTGAATTAGATATTCCATTGTGATAATCTGGAAGGGAGTGAGGATGCATATCAGACATGCCCTGGAATCCAGTATTGATTTGGCCCACTGAAGGGCTTATATCAGCATGGGTGGCTTGATTGGTGTGATTATCAACAGATGCAATTTTTACAGGGGAAGATAAATTCTGCGGCACACTAGATGAGAATCCATGAAATGTGGTCCCCATAAGTGGGGTAAATGGTGCTTGAATTGCTGAGGGTAAACCACGGAGTGCTCCATTTTCAAGATTATTAGGTGTGATTGGCCCAAGAGAGGATGAACCTAAAAAAAAAGTGGCATGCATTAGGTCCAGCTACATAGGTCACAAGCATAACATGATATGAAAAATGACAGAAGGCACAACTAAAGATAGAAGCCTCAAATTATACCAAGGCACCCAGGGAGAGAGTTTTTAGGGCTTCCCTGCCAGCATCCATCTAATTCTTCCTGCTCCAGCTCTGGAGATAACTGTTGCATCAAGCTGTTGGTAAAGAAATGTGAGTCACTAGATAATAAGCCAAAGAGAAGCAAATTTAAACATCAAGGTTGTCTTTTTATAAGGTAATGATAGAAGATAGATATGATAGTCGATGTAAGATCACTCAAAAAACATGAGTTCACTTTTTGCAGTAGGGAGGCCAAGAATCAATAGGTCAAGTACCATTTTCAAAAACTTGATGTGTAGACAATCTGATAGAGAGATGCATTAAATGGAAAAGCTTTGTCCGGATAGAAAGTATCATTTAGAAGGCTCAATTCTTTTGGAAAATAAGTTATTAACTAAAAGTAATCATGAAAATTGAGAATATAAGATATTATGACTAATTATAAATTAAATGCTAATGAAAATAAAAAAATAGAAGTAATGTAAAATTTATTGTTATACAGAGCATATGCTTAGATAATGATATATGTTGTGTTTTAAGAGAAAATAATTTGGCTTGAACTTCAATTATAAATATTCTCTGCAAAAATATGTTCTAACATATCCAAAAAAAGTTGCATGATCAACTATATTCTGTTTTAATACCAGTCTGATATAAGTAGCTACAAAATTATCATAATTGCTTTCAGTGATTTGCATTACCTGTCATTGTAATATAAATGGTAATTTAAATGGAACTTTCAAACTTTACTTGAAGTCAAGGACAATTTATGAACATGCAGCCATCCGGTTGCCATTAATCTCTACCCAGGTGGTTATATATTGGCAAAGAGAGTCGTAAATTTCAAAGAGACATAAAAAGCAACTAAATAGGGTAACCCTGACAACAGAGGTAAAAAGTGAGATAGTTCAGAATTCTGTGAGTGGGCAATATGGGCATTGCAGTGACAAGATTCACATGAAATGAGGCTAAAGAATAAATCAACCCAGATGATGCTAAACATCACCAAAGTCTGGTCAAAATACTGACAGTAGGCACTAGCTCAATATAATAAGACTTTGCGGACAAATTCCAAGAGCATAATGATGCCCAGCATATATGACTTGCCACGAAATCTCAGGAGCTACCTTCTATACTACCTCACACCCTACCTCTTGCAAGCAAATATCTGAATCATCCCAGAAATAAACACTTGAAAGTTGAAACAACCTATAGGGTACTACACAGCCATTTCAATGAAAGTTTTATATTATCACTATGTCGTCTGAAATATGTTACAACTATAATAATTAACACACACACAGCCGAAACTCAAAGCAAGGAAAAAAAATTTTGTTTCCTAGATATGCACAGAAAGAATATACGAAACATCAATAAGTAGTTGTTTGAGGGCACAAAGTTAACAAATAATATTATGTAGATTAACAGAGGACATGATCTTTAATAAGGTTAATTCTAAAAGTCAATTCCAAAAAGCTAAGACTTCAGGATCTGTTGTAGCTGTCAAAATTCATCCCCAATAATTATGACTTCTGGCTTTGTAATTATTGTCTATATAAGCAAATAAACATAAAAGATAAGTCCAAGCCTAAAAACTCAATGCCAGCTGTTGAACTTCAAGTCCACCAGAGTACCATTCTGAACATACATCAACATGATATCGTGACTATTTGAATCAGCCAGAGAAAACATATTCTTCAATCAAACCAAAATCGATAGAGTAGATAGAATACAGTGATATGGAAGGAAAATATGATTTGAAAGGGTCCACAAGATCATTATCATGAAAGCTCAGCTAAATCCTAGAAGGTAGTCTATAGACAAGAAATATTGAAAAGATGGAGTTCAGATTTAAGAATTTGATAAACATAAACTGACACAATTCAAGAAACTGACATGACAAAGACCAGGCCCCAAGTTTCTGATAATCCAAATTGACTAATCATGGTTCCAGTCATACAAATTAGAGCTGAGTTGCTGACAGAAAACTGTAAGAAGAAGATACAAGTACGATGCTGTATGTTCAATTTGTCTGCTACTTTAAGAATATACATAAGAATGATAGAACGCCAAAACACAAATACAAAGACCATGGGAAATTTAGTAAAGACTTATAACAAACCAAAAATTGCATTTAGTTTTCCATGCATCTTCCAAGCATAATCAAATAATAATATACAGAGCCTCTGTCTAGAAATGTGGGGAGAAAAGTGTTTGCTTGGATAATACCTCTGTCTTGCACCTCCAGGGCGGCTAGGCTCAAGCTTAATTTTCTTGCCTGCAATGTCACTCTTGTTTAGAGCATGGAGAGCAGCTGCAGCGGCTCTAACATCATAAAATTCTATGAATTTGTGGTGATGCTTATGTGGAGTCTCAGATATCTATAAGGTCAAATTCAGGATTGACATTATTAGCAGCTTTATCATAACACCAAAAGAACTTCAGTTTATTGCCACAATCTATATCAATATAATGAATGCAGAAAATCTACATCACCTCTTTGATTTCGCCATAAATACCAAATATCTGACGGAGATCATCAATTGTAATAGAAGAATCAAGGTTAAATACAATAAGCATACCCTCATTTATATCTTCCTCCGAAGGATTGTCCTAATAACCGGAAAGCACGTCACTACAAGAAGATATGTAATCCATAGGCATTTATATATGCCATGGGAAACACCTAAAAAAAATGTTACACCCTGTCTTTGCAAGAGATATAGCTGGTATACAGTACAGGTGGAGCTTTCACATGAGTAATAAGCATATACATAGTTTGTACAAACCACGAGAGGAAGTACCAGATTTCATGGCAAACACACAAGAAATGTAAAGATAACATAAACCATCATGATAAGATGACAATATAAGGATGACAAGAACCACCATGATAACGTGATTAGGTGACAGCATAAAGATGAAAAGAACCATCATTATAGAAGCCGGACTATCTCCATATTCCCTAAATGAAGTTGGAAAAAAAAATCACTGAACAGAAATTCCTAGCTTCATCCCAAAGAAGAATGAGATCCAGTTAGGTCAGTATTGCTTTTGAATCACTTCAATAACCAGACCATTCACCTTACGGGCTGTCTCATCGTACCACCAGATTAGCTATGGCATAATGCTAAAAGCAATATATGAATACTATCTGCTGGTTAAGATGCAGCAAGAAAACTTGTTTTGAAGGGATAAAATGTAGGATCCAAGTGTCAATTCTAAACATACAAAAAATTAGTAGATATAGTTTTAAATTCAATCAATATTTGGAATACTGCTCGGTAAGGTTCAGGATGGATGGCATTTACCAGTACGATGACTTATCGGTACACAGACCAAGGTGAACCGGGTGGTATGTTCAGTACAGGGTCTTTACCATCTGGTATGACAAGGTGCAGACTCCTGTACCAGGCATTTTCTTCCTGTTTTTTCCCTCGGTAATTTTTTCATGCTTTTTCCAAAGCTAGGTGCATACTGGCATATGGAAGCTCGGTACACTGGTATGGACCAGTACAATACCTGTCAAAATCCTGGATTGTACAAACCTATAATGGGCATACCACACGGTTAACATCGATCATTTAGTTGATCCAACATTTGAATTCTAAAGCAGACAGCCAATAGAGATTGGCTCATATAGCTTCACTTGCTTTTTAAATCAACACAAAAGTGGTTCTATTTTTCAACCAGAATCCTATCTTAATTTGTGTTACATTGACCATGGACCAGGAAGTTCAGTTTTCAATATACGAGGCAATCGCAAAGGATGATATTTTTTATCCCTGATTTACTTTTGGAGATTTTCACTGGAAGAGGTGGTGGGTCATACAATTGTGTAGGGCAATCATGCAAATCATGTCAGATTTACCTCGATATATTTCCAAGTGTTACCCCAGTTCACATTACTGTTACAAAGACCTAATTGAACAAAGGAAAGCAGTATAAATATAAAAAAAAAATCTAAAACAATGGATTTCAGGATCAAAGTAATTAGAGAACTTCTAATGAACTGTAATGTCATGACGCCATTTCAAAAGAAGACAGGAAGTCATTACCTTTGGAATAGAGAATTGGATATCCATATTCTGATGCCTCAATGGCTTGTTCTGAAGCGCTTGCATTGCATTTTGTGCTGCCCTTATGTCATAATAAGATACCATAACAAAACCGCGATGCTTGCAAGCAGTGTGAAGTGTGTGTATATCCCCATAATGCTTAAGAAATCAAGAAGATAGCAATCAGGAATTAAGAAATCTGTGGACACTACCAAAAGCACTTAATCAAAGAATTAACAAGAAAGATAGATCAATCTGAGTGAAAAATGTACCTCAAAGAGAGCCCTTAATTCACCATCTTCGACATTGCTATCGATATTTCTAACAAAAAGTGTTCTAGATGGATGTTCAGCATATGGGTGTTCACTGGAAAATGGGCCATTTGGTTCACCTTGTTGACCAGTAAAGAGCCCTCCCTCGACAAATTCAGATTTTCTATTGCGATTGGAATTATCATCAGATTCCAGTTCCATACCACCACCACTGTAAAATATGTCATCGTCAATGTCATTCCCATTGCTGGGTCGATGAATATATCCAATATTTTCAGCAGCACCAGGGAACAAATCATCATCATCAGGAAGGAGATTTCCAATAGTCCGAGCTTCAATTTCCTCCATTGATTCAAAAGGCTCATCTTCACCAAAGTTTGAGTTAACTGAATTAACAGACTGACCAAAGGGAACAATTCTTGATGACAATCTCACTGCCAGTGAAATTAACAAGAATAAACATAGACATTCCAAAAGCAAAATCTTACATGCCAAAAAATTCCATGAGAAAAAGCAGGAAAATGTGCATGTATTTGTAGGACTTTACTCCATAAAAATATTCAAACAGAGAACAAAATTCTTCTTGGAAGAACTCAGGCATCTAGGCTAGCAGCATTATCTAAAAAGGTACTGATGTATGAATTGTAGGAGAAAAACACACATTTTTTGTCGAGTATATCTGATAAAGAGCTTGAGAAGAGTCCATTCTCATATGGTCCACTAAGATCCATTATGTTCCCTTTGCCAAACAAAGGAGGAAGAGACAACATATCAGATTGGAATCCAGAAACATGATCAGCAAGTCTTGAAGTAGGAGGAATGCTGGTCACCCTTTGTGGCACCATCAGATGATGTTCAAGGTTAGACTCTGTCTTCTGGTCCTTGAGATTGCAAGACTTTGGAAGCTCTAAACATTCCATAGAGCTTGCTTTAATCTCACAATGCTTATCAGGTGGAGAAGATGACATGGACTTACTCCCTGACATCAGTTGTCTTCCCTCTGCAAAAGATGAATAGGGTGATGCATATATTACACAATTGCCCTAGATCATAAGCAGAAATTAAAAAAAACAACATTGGTTTAATGTGAAAGAGCTTATCTAGTGAGGAAGAGATTTTTAAACGAATTTATAAGTATGAGGGTGATATCCAAAACTATTCTATATATTGGAATTAGAATTACAAGTTACACTATGAAAACTTAGAAAAGAGTTAGTGAAAATCGAATAAGGTATGAAACAAATATCTTCTGAAATTAATTTGGTTTTATGTTTAGAAGATCAACAATAGAAGTTATTATTTATTTTAACAACTAATGAAATAGTATAAAGAAAAAGAAATTGCATATAATTTTTATTAATTTAGAGAAGGTTTATTAGGGGGTTCCTAGTTCCTAGACATTAATTATCATGGGCTTTAGAAAAGGTGTATTTATTAATTAAATTGATATTATAATGAATGTAAATGACAGTGCATCACTAGTGTGTCTAATGAGTTTCCTATACAATATTAGTATAGAACTACATCAAGATTCCTCATTAAGCATTTACCTTTTGGTCTAATTAACTAATTATTTACATAATAGATTTCCTTGGTGTATGATTGATGATATTATTGTAGTTTATAAGAGTAAATGAAACTAAATCTAAACTTGAGTTATGGCGACAATCCTTATAAAGTGAAAAAGTTCTAAATTAAGCAGGACCAAGTCCGAACATGTGAGATATAATCTTGGTAATACTTGGAATAGATTCGAGGATATAGTTATGTTAAATAACAAGAAAATTCAGTTTTAGGCATCTTGAATCGATAACTTAAAAGTAGGATGGACACAGATTAATTTAAAATTTCTGGAGAATGGACCGGTTCACGTGAGTCTACCAACATCAGGCTAATGACCAATTCTAACACTAGCACTTGTCAAGACGAATTATTAAATGAGTTAAATAACTGGAGGACATACACTACATACAATAGAAAATGTGTTACTTGATAAATTCAAGCACCATGATGCCCTTTGATCTAGGTGAGATTCTTGATGTGCAGAAGAGAACACATCAGAATCCAAATTTAAGGCAATTGTTACTGAGGACAGGCACCATGGCCTAGGGTTTGGATTCCCTCTTCATCTTGAAAAGGTTCTAGGTTTGAGAACTAGCGGGGGTGGTACCAAATCACCTGACCTAAGTAGCTCTTTAGGTGGGATTGATACTTCTTAGTAATTTTCAAAAGAAAAGAAAAGAACAAAAGGGAAGAGGCAATTGTTACCTCAGTAGCAACATGCGGCTCCTCAGAAAAAGTTGAAGACGCCACAGAGTGCAAGCTGAATACAGAGAGCCGCCCCTGATCCATGTCTTCAGTTGGCATCCTGCAGCTCCAAAACCAAGGCGAAAACTAAATTCACATTGAGGCGCCCGGACAACCCTCTTCTTAAATTCTCCGGATGAACGGTTGATCCTTTGGAAACTAAAAAGGGCAAAAACAAACACAGAAAGTAAATGGCAACTCGAATGGGTCCTTTCTTCGTCTCGACCAAATCGTCGATGTTCTTGATATTTAAAAGAACAAAGAAAAAAAAATCCCACAGAGAAGATCCCAAACCAAGATTAATGTTTTAAGACAAAAGTTAAGGGAGATCGCTGCAGCGACCCGAATGCCAACAGTTAGGGAGCAAAAGAAACTCAGAGCAAGCAAGAGATCGCAGCAAATCGAGAGAAACAGACAAAACCAAGTACCTGAATTCAAGCTCGCAATTGCAACCACAGGCGCAAGACCCGACCTTTTGACGCCAATTCCCAGGCAGATCACAAACGAGCATACAAATTCCAGCAAAGAACTTACGAAGCAAGCAAGAAGACGAATTCAACGAGTCGGTTCCTCATCAGATCGCCCCATCTTCCGTTCTCGCTCACCAAGAACCTCCGCAGAACGGCACAAAAGGAGCTGGGGCCTGGCCGAATTTAAAGCAGTGGTCCGCACAAGGCGAGGGAGCGGCTTGCCAGGGAGAATCCCCCAAGGGTCACCTCGGCATCCGTGCCGTACGCGAGCCTCCAATCCCGCCCATCACCCCTCCGTCCTCTTCTTTCCCGTCCAATGCAAGCAAGAACACCACGCCCCGGGTACCGCTAACGGAATCTTTCTTCTCTTCGGAAGAAATCGAGAGATCCCAAGCGCAAGCCTCAGAATGAGTGATTCCGTCGGGATCTTTGGTGGATTCCGGCGAGCTGTCGCCGGAATCTATGGCGATCCCCCTCTCCCTCCGACCGGGGAAGAGAGACGAGCACGAGAAAGAAGAATGAGAGAGAGAGGAGGAGGAGGGTTGTTATTCGAAGCTTTAGAGAGCGAGAGAGAGAAGGGAGAGGGCGGGGCGCAGATTAAGGGGTAAACGGCGGAGGAGAAAGAAACGGAGACGGAGGCGGAGACGGCGCGCCGTTATGGTCCTAACGGCGTCGCCCTCGATCGCAGGGTGGGTCGGATCGACACGCCCACCGCCCGGAGATTTAGCGCCTTCCAACTCGCTCGAGAACTCAAATTACCTTATTGCCCTTAAATATTTAACTCAATTTTCCGTAATTAAGGTGATAGCGGAGGGCAAGATAATCATTTCGACGACCGAACCGCCCCTCGTGGCATTTCTTTGTTGAACATAAAGAAGCTGTTTCCTGTTTTCGGGAGAAATCTGGTCCACCGTTAATTAAAATATACAAGCTCAGCAGATCCAGAAATCACCAGATCCTGCTCCATCTGTCTCGGACAGCGATAAGTTCTCCTAGCGTTGGGTCCCTAAGCGTTAGCCCTTCGCGATGCGCCACGATGAAGGTGAGCTCTGTTTTATGCTAGCGATGGTGCATAGGATCTCACCGGAATCATTTATCTCTCCCTCACTTACCGTCCGATCCGGGACGGAGGGACCGGATCAACCTATTTCTTACCATGACAATTGCATGTATACTGGTACTTGTAGACGTACATTCAAAAGTGATTGATGATGGAGTGTAAGTCGAAGTTGGTTTCTTCTCTCATCAACGAGTGCAAGCTTTGCATGGATCAATGGATGTCCTTGTGCTCATCCTTAGAAGCTAAGCTTGAAAGTTACTCCTTACCTCATGATAAGGACAACCATTCTACAATGTGTTGTCCGTTCTGTCCATTTCTAGTTTACATCTCATATCCGAATGGACTTTATTATATCAGGATGATGAAAAGGTGACAAAACAAGGACATGAGTGACCACTTTTTACGGCCAAGTAGAGTCAAAGGAAATGAGTGACCACTTTTTTTTTTTTTATCCTCATTTAAGATGCTAAAATCAATATTTTTTTTCTTTACAAATGATAAACAAAATAAGATTTTGACTATGATATACTCAATATATTGGATTAATCGAAACTCCACACGCGCAGACAAAAAATTATTCTTCAAACTCCTTATTCCAACAATATGTCTATCATCATCATAAAACCCTTTTAGAAATAGTTCAAGAAACTTATACTAGTTTTACAGTTGATACTCCGTATCTCATGAGGTTTTAACCTTCTGAAGGATAAATCAGGTCAACTTGACTCTATGATTCCAGGAGGTAGATAGACAACTAATTGTGACACTAATAAATCCTAAGATAACTTATTATTGGTAATCGAAAATCTCTATTCACTAGCTGTATGACACCTAACATCCTTAGATTAATGTAGCGTTGGAGGTTGTCATCGCGGTCAAATCGGTTCCCCCCTTGTACAAACCAGATAAGGTTGGGAGTGTCCACACAAAGAACAATCGTCCAGCTAGTTTCCCTAGATGGTATGTTAGCTGATATGGCAAACTACCATTGGAAGATTGACGGGATCCATCGGATATCAAACTGACCGATTGCTATTTCGACTACTAATACCACAGCATGATAAGGTCGGTCCATCCAACGGCAGTCGACTTGGTGTCCTTTCGCAGTCAAGTTTAACTGGCACCTAAATCACATATTTTAAATGCACGTACTAAAAATGCAAATTTGATGAGAGGTCATTTTCCATTAATCAACATCTTTTGAAGTATCTACACGCTACACATCCGTGTCTCCTCGTTTATAATATTAAATGTTTCATTTCAGAAGGCGATGATTCTAGTTGGGTTTTTTCTTTTATTTATATACATATGTATATATATATATATAGAGAGAGAGAGAGTTATGAGCTTTAGTTTCTTTTAGTTTCCTAGGAGAAACAAGTTTTTTTTTTTGGGTGAATTCAAATATATGACATAATTGAAATATAAAGTTCAAACTAGGAAGAAATTATTACCTGACACTGAGCTATGATGTTTGGGGAAGATCGAGTTGATGTTCATCAACATACACCTACAAGAGAGAATCAACAAACTGAGCTCTTTATCTTTGACATTTCCATGCACAAAGAGGGCCAGTCCATCTGATTTCTCAACATACCTCAATCAATCATATCAGGAATAATTCCACTTCGCTATGCTGCCATTGTTTTTATTAGTGTACGTTTGCTGTGGATTCTGAAACTTATGCTGCTGGTCCCTAGCTGCACAACCAGCAGTTAGATTGTCCCATCTTCTCCTGCAGTTTAATATCATAGGTGTTCATTTTAAAGCAAGTAAGTTGCTGGTTAATGTTTGTAATATAAGTGTGAGATAGCAAGTAGTCCTGTCTCCTGTTGATAAATCAGTCAGTCCATATATGCAAGAGAGAATTAAATAAAGAAAAAAAGATAAATAATGCAGTCTATTCGATCTGTTACATTTTCTAAATATATGAAGATTGAGAATGCCAAAACCACAAACTGTAATTTGGAATATTTTAGTTAATAGCTAGGTTAGATAAATAGCTTCAGTCATGGAATACTTTTTATGTTCTTTTGTGGGTAAGCATTAATGAGAGTGCAAGTGGATGGCATGGAATTGTCAAGCATCACTTGATGACCGCATGAGGTTTCCTTACCTTCTCCTGTGCATTATGATGCTCCAAGACAGGTCCATGTGTCGCCATTTTATTCAAAGACAGAGGAAGAGCAATCCTGCAGGGTAAAAACACTTGTTAGAAATTTAACAGGAAGAGTGAGAGAGTAATTCGAATCCAACCAAATGAATCAAATCAAAGGCGTTCACAGTGATCTTTCTGTGTGTGCATGAGTGTGAGAGAGAGAGACCACCAACAGTGCAAAATAATTAATTGATGTGAAATCTGTACTCAGAGAACAAAAGTCTGCAAAAGTTGCTGTCAAAATTAAATGCCTTGTCAGAAAGAGCTATCGTTCTGAATGATATGTTGACACACGCTTTTACTGGACAATCATATGAAACCGAATGGTGAATGATAAACCTGTTGGTGTCAACACAGACCTTTTCTTGGCTCCCATCTGCTGCCCACTTACCTAAAGGTTCAGAATGTTGATTATGTTGATGAAAGCATGCAAATGCTAAAATTATTCGAGCAAATAGGCTTTAGCTCAAACTGTAATTCAAATCAAACGGAAAGCAAGAAGAGTTCCATGTTGTCATGTCCCTGCATTGAGAATCCAACGTGCCAATGGATTCTTAAGCCCATTATCCAATGATAGCAACCCAAGAAGTGAAGGACACGACAATGACAGCAGCATTTGGATAGATAGGATTGAGGGCCATGTTTTTATTTGAATAAATGATAACCAAACACTTCAAATATAAACCACATATATTACCTCCCTCTGCATAGTTTTCTGTTCCGCTGGTCACATCACCAAATGTCCAATCTCTCAATTCCCCTGATGTATCACAGTTTCTGCTTCAAGCAGTTGTTGGAAGCCCAAAATTAGATGTTTCTGCATCAGTCAAGCAAAGAGTTGATTTGTCCAGTGGTTGAGAATCTAGATATGAATAATTATTGTTCAAATGACCAATAACAAAATAAAAGATGAATCGAAATGCATGAATACCGTAAATGTCAGTCTCAATTAGATCATTAACGATCAACGTAAAATTATGTCAAATATCATGAATATAAATCTTAAATGATTTCTCAATAACGATAAAAGATCCATGTAGATATCAGTCTTAACACACTTCACGTAATGAACAATCGATTTTAGCACAAGGAACAATCAATTCATCTTGATAGACAGCACATAATGAATAAAACCTCACTTCCCAAATCAAAAACAGAAACAATTAGTCCACTAGGACATGAAAATTTCTAGGTTGAGAATTAAGCCTTCCAAGCAACAACAACCATAACTTGGCAGAAACATAAACCACATATATTACCTCCCTCTGCATAGTTTTCTCTTCTGCTGGTCACATCACCAGATGTCCAATCTCTCAATTCCCCTGAGGTATCACAGTTTCTGCTTCAAGCAGTTGTTGGAAGCCCAAAATCAGATGTTTCTGCATCAGTCGAGCAAAGAGTTGATTTGTTCAGTGGTTGAGCATCTAGAAATGAATAATTATTGTTCACATGACCAATAACAAAATAAAAGATGAATTGAAATGCATGAATACCATAAATGTCAGTCTCAATTAGATCATTGACAATCAACGTAAAATTATGTCAAATATCATGAATATAAATCTTAATTGATTTCACAGTAACGATAAAAGATCCATGGAGACATCAGTCTTAACACACATCACAAAATGAACAATCGATTTTAGCACAAGGAACAATCAATTCATCTTGGTAGACAGCACATAATGAATAAAACCTCACTTCCCAAATTAAAAACAGAAACAATTAGTCCACTCCGACATGAAAATTTCTAGGTTGAGAATTAAGCCTTCCAAGCAACAACAACCATAACTTGGCAGAAACATAAACCACATGTATTACCTCTCTCAGCATAGTTTTCTCTTCTGCTGGTCATGTTACCAAGTGTCCAATCTCTCAATTCCCCTAATGTAATCACAGTTCTCTGCTTCAAGCAGTTGCTGGAAGCCCAACATCAGATGCTTCTGCATCAGTCAAGCAAAGAGTTGATTTGTTCAGTGGTTGTGCATCTAGAAATGAATAATTATTGTTCAAATGACCAATAACAAAATAAAAGATGAATTGAAATGCATGAATACCGTAAATGTCAGTCTCAATTAGATCATTCACAATCAACGTAAAATTATGTCAAATATCATAAATATAAATCTTAATTGATTTCTCAATACCGATAAAAGATCCATGTAGACATCAGTCTTAACACACTTCACATAATGAACAATCGATTTTAGCACAAGAAGCAATCAATTCACCTTGGTAGACAGCACATAATGAATAAAACCTCACTTCCCAAATCAAAAACAGAAACAATTAGCCCACTCCGACATGAAAATTTCTAGGTTGAGAATTAAGCCTTCCAAGCAACAACAACCATAACTTGGCAGATACATAAACCACATATATACCTCTCTCAGCATAGTTTTCTCTTCTGCTGTTCACATCACCAAATGTCCAATCTCTCAATTCCCCTAATGTAATCACAGTTTCAGCTTCAAGCAGTTGTTGGAAGCCCAACATCAGATGCTTCTGCATCAGTCAAGCAAAGAGTTGATTTGTTCAGTTGTTGAGCATCTAGAAATGGATAACTATTGTCCAAATGGCCAATAACAAAATAAAAGCTGAATTGAAATGCATGAATACCGTCAATGACGGTCTCATATCCGGATGAAAAAGGTGAATAGTTGTATTAGGTCACTGACAACCAGTTGTAAATTTATGTCAGATCTCATGAACATAAATTTTAATCGATTTCTCAAAAACGATAAAAGATCTATGTGGTCATCAGTTTGAACAACCGATTTTAGCGCAAGGAACAATCAATTCATCTTGGTAGACAGCACATAATGAATAAAACCTCACTTCCCAAATCAAAACAGAAACAATTAGTCCACTACGACATGAAAATTTCTAGGTTGAGAATTAAGGCTTCCAAGCAACAACAACCACAACTTGGCAATACATCACACACCTCGTTCCATGAGAAATTGAAAGCAAGCTATTGGAATCCAATAAAGCAAACGAGACTATATGGGGAAAACAAAGGATAAGAACCCTAATTACAAACAGAACATTGGCTCTCGCGATATACCAGCTAAAGATCTACAGCAACATCATAGATATGTTGTCCTTACTTACCAAAAAAAAAGATATGTTGTCCTCGAAAATGGAAGGATCTAACATTTAGATTAAAGCAACCGTAGAAGAAGTATAGGAACGACAGGTAATGGAGGCGAAACCTGTGTGCTGAAAAAGCTAGGTCGGTGATGATTGCAAATTAGGGTTCCAGAGATGAATTAGATAGAGCTGAGGATCGAGGAGGGGTTGGCGATATAGAAAGGGCAAAGAGGAGAGGCAAGGGCGGCGGAGGAGACGAACCCACAGCGGTGGCGATGGAGCTCATGGATAGGCGGAAACGATCTTTGAATAGCTCCGGTTTCTCCTCTGTTCCGTCTCTTCCTCCATGTCGAGGCCGCCTTCTATAAGTGGGCGGGACCGAAACTGAGCTCCTTCTTCTTCGTCTTTGGCGCCGGAAATTCTAAAGACGTGAATCCAACGGCCCAGATCGTCTTGATGCCTCAGCTTTTAACGGTGAATAAATTGGCACGAAAAAATGAAAAAAAAATGTTAAATTGATGCATTAATATATATATATATATATATATATATATATATATATTACCCAAATCAAGTACGTAAACGAATAATAAATACCATAATTTAATTTCATATTTCCAATATAATTTCTTCGCCGTTTATTCTCTCCTTTTTTATAATTACAATTTGCTTTTTTTAATTATACATAAATATTTTAGTATACAAAACATATTCAGAAAATATCAGAATCAGAATTGAACTGCTCAAGATCGATTTCGATTATGTTTGGAATCGGCAAACCGTCACATGAATTAGGTTTTGGTTCCACCGATTTAATTTGGATTCGAATCGAACTATGACTGGGACTACTCGAATGCAAAATGCACAACAAACTCCCCTTTCACCGGTCTCTCAAAGGCCATGGATCCAAAATGCCGCCTTTTTGTGGCCACCGGAGGGAGCATCTCCAAATGCCTCAACACCTTTAGAGAGCCTGCGCCTGAGCCGGAGCAGTTCTCAGCCAGTAGTCCACCGGTTCCAGTTCCGACAAAGCAAACAACTCTGCCTCCAAGGTCGCCACTAGCACCTCCCCTGCTCATCGGACAGGGGGATCCAACGCGGCCGCGTCGTCCCCTACTTCAAACTCCACGTCGAAAAGGTTCGCTTCGTTGAATAGAGACGAAAGAGCCGGTTTCGGGAGAGAGAAAGGGCTGGTTGTGGTCGCAGTCCTCGACGGCATGCAGCGGCAGGGCCACGTGGAGCGAAGGATTCGGTAGAAAGGCGGCGTCTTTGAGGTCCTCAAGCAAGGAGTGTAAGCCAAAGAGGCCGAACTCGTCCTCCTTCCTCTCCTCCATCTCCCCGCCATTGGAGCCCGAGGCGTTTCCTCCCGTCCAGAAGACATCCTCGAAACCATCGCTACTCTGCTCACTACGGGCAGAAGAGAATAAGAAGGCGACGCGTGTACTGCGGCGGAAAGTTCGGTTTGGGAGCTCTTTTCTCCATTGATTCTGTGGCTGGTTATGTGTTGCTTTCTGGTTATTGACTACTCGTGTAATCGTTGATAGATTTCCTATAAACATCGTTAGATTTAAGGGGTAGTTCGGTTCAGTGAGTGAAGTTTCTGCCTGGAAGCAAGTCCGCAAACACGACTCAAATTACTCCTTCCATTAACTTTGATCCGTCAAACACATCAGCTCGAGCACACAGGTACACCTTGGAATCGATGCTAATCTCGCATGTACTTACACTGCACACCGAAGAACCAACTCATGGAGCGTAGGTGAACGTCTCCGGCAGCGGTCGGCCTTGCAGGAACGCCCTGAACAGCACAAGCGACCTCTCCGGCTGCGAGAACGGAGCTTCGTGAGATGCCCCTCTCACGGTGGCAAACGAAAGGACATCACCGTAGACTTGCGTCCATCCACCGACCTGCACAGAGAATGCGAAAGAACTCAGATGCAGAAAGGCAGTGCGGTGCGTGCGACCTGAGACGAATCACCTTCCTGTTTACCTGTTCTCCCTCGAACCAGACTCTGTAAGGGACTGTTGTCTTCAGGCCCAGCTCGTTGGCCAACCTTTGCACCAGCGTTCGACTTCCCGTCAGAGGAATCACAGAATCCTGATCGCCGCTGCAATCGAAGAGCATGAGAATTTGTCGGGTACAGTCGACATCATTGATGGGGCTCCAGGGATTCTTGATTACCTGTAGACCAACACCGGGATCCCGGACTTCACAAGCGAGCCGACGACCGAGATCGTTGGAACCTCCAGGTCGAGTAGCTCGTACTCCAGAACACTGGACGAACACCAGAAGCAGCATGTCAGACGAGAGCTCAGGTTTCAGCAACGATGGGTACGAGGTTCAACATCGATACCTGCTGCAGACGGTCCATTTGGTAACTCCGTCGAGGTGGGCATGAAGGGCAGACTGCACGTCTCTCCGGTTGAGATACCTCACCGTCTCGTCTTCCACGCACACGTCCACACGCTCGGTAACTTGCTGCAAGCGCGGCATGCCTCAGATGCAAGGTCAAAGAGAACACGCAGATCACCAAAACGACGGCTCCCGAGCTTACTTGAGGACTCAAAACCATGGATTGCGATAGAACGGAGGAGATACAGACGTCGAGGGTGACATCGTACTTGTCCACGAATCTACTCGTTTCTCTGGTCACTTGGCTCATCACTCGTTGGCACACCGAGCTGAGGGAACCTCTGTAGTACTCGCTGACATAGCGTGAGTAGTTGCAAGCAGAAGTGAAGATTCGGTACGTGGAGTCCGAGATCAAGCCATGCGACCAGAAGAACTCTGCTCTCGAGTTGAAGTCGGTGGAGAACTCGAGAACCGGATTGCCCAGCTGTGGCAGGTAGCAGAGGAAAGAACAGAGATCAACCAGCGGAGACACAACTCTGTTAATTCATCGACAATGGTGCATTACTCACAGCGATGCCTTTAAGGTTGAAGACCCTCTGCTTGTCATCAGATTCGACCATGAGCTGGGCGAGTTGTGGAACATAATGACCTGAAAACCACAGCCTGAGTTGCTGATTTCAAGAGAAGACGAACTATGTCTAGGAAGACAGGGGTGTCTCTTCACCTGCGTAGCTTTCCCCAGCGATGTACAAGTCCCTGCCCTCGTACTGTGGGAACTTGGTGAACCAGCGCTGCAGGAAGACTAGATTATCCGTGGCTGAACGAACGAAAACAAGGAAAGAGTCATCTTCTATGCCGGCATCGGCAACACGAACTGCTTAATCGTTCACCTGTCATCCGATCGTTCACCCCCTCATAGTAGGAGGAGTCACTGGAGTAGGAGAAACCGACGCCTGCTGGGGTCTCCAGGTACAACATGTTGGCTTCTGCAAGTTGGAGAGGAGGAGGTGTCACTGGTTTCCCTGTTTAAGGAAGGTGTCTCTGAGGAACAGAATCCATGCATGATGTTGCAGAGTGGTACCTTTGTTCCAGCTATACTCATTCCTCACCAGCACTGCGCCTTTTGGTCTGAAAGGCCCGTTCTCAGAGAATGCTCCAACCCCAACAGAGGAGCAACCGGGCCCTTCGGAGACGAAGAAGAAATGAACACAGAAGCGGATGAGGTAATCGAATCGAAAAGATTGAAGATGCTGTGTTACCTCCATTCAACCAGAGAACGAGAGGCTTCGTGGAAGGATCCACCTCTGCTTCAGCGAAGTAGTAGAAAAGAGCCCTCCGGTCGAGCTGATCCACCGTGATGTAGCCTGAGAACTGCTGGAAGCTGACCGGAGGTTGGCCAGGCAGCTTCATGATCATGTCCGGGCGGAACGGCTTGGGCTCCAGCTCCCTGGAGGAGCACAGTCGAAGCAGGGTGGCAGCCATCACCATCGCCCTCCATGCTACACACTGCATGTTGCAGGAGCCACCCAACACAAACCGAAAGAGAGGGGGAGAGGATGCTGTCGAGCGAACGATGAGGCAGTATATATAGCGAGAAAAATCAGAATATGATCATTAGCAGTGAGACTTGAAGCAGAGAAAGGCTATAAAATGTAGAAAGGTTGTCATCCACCACCAGTTTCATCTCTTCTCTTTTATGATATCCACACCCAGTTGTGGAGGATTTAGTATTGAAGCAACTGAGCAGCAGAGGACAGAGAGACATCGATAGGAGTGCCCTTTTGCTCCTATAGGTCTTGTCTGCCACCCCAAAAGAAATCGAACGAGTGACTGATGGATGCTGGGTGATGTAACACTGGCATTATAGCCATTGCACATAACAAGAACTCCTGTCCATATAAAACTTCCAAAGAGCACTGAAGCTCAAGCCGTGACTCTTATTTTGATGCCTCTCCGAAAGAAGAGAGCTTGTCATTATTATCGGAGAAGCTTGGAGTGTCTTCCAAGGAGAGGAGATGCCGCAGCTTCGACTGTGTCATCTGGCTATGTTGTATTTAGATGAAGCTCGTTTGGTGAGGAGTCGCAGGAGACATCAAAGATTCATTCTTTTGATGGATTCTTTAGTCGTTTGTTGTTGGCTCTACTACAAGTATGTGATGTGGGGAGATGATATCGAGCGTGAGGTTGCATGATTGATGGGAGGGTCTAAAGGGATTCGGACACTTGGATACAACCCAAAACTGCTTTGCGCCTTTGAATGATCGGATTGCTCGTCGGGTCTTATTGTACTAAAAAGTGAGAGAGTAGTGTGTGACTCGTAGATATATGCCATTGCTTTTCTGGGAGATATGGTGGCAGCTCTCTCTCTCTCTCTCTCTCTCTCTCTCTCTCTCTTTCGAGGGAAAATGAAGAGAGGAAAGAATTGTAGGGCATGGTTGATGCTGCCATATCATCATCGCCCTGTCCTTTGAGAATCTTGATGGATGAGGGAGAGGCGATGAGGTTTTGTCTTGGCGCTGTCAGATGGGATACAAGGCTGTGGGCTCTGACGACCAAAGAGTCAAAACCATGGCAGTGGCCTGCAAAGCTGGCGGAAGAGGACGAGGCTGCGCCATCGCAGAGGAGGGAGGGAGCCCGGCGGGAGGATGGATCGATCGCGAGCACACGGCAAGAGCTGTTTGCAGCCCTGGCGTCGAAGAAGATGGAGAAGAAGATGAAGAAGACAGCGGGCATGGGAATCTTCCCCAGACCGTGCTTGTAGGGTTCCGGTCTTCCCCTGACCGTGCGGGCGTGGAGGAGTAGGTGGTGCTGCATTTCCCATGCTCTCTCTCTCTCTCTCTTTCTCTCTCTGTTCCCTTGTCGCTCCCTTCCTCTGATGGCGCGACGGGAGTAGGTTGTGCTGCGACATGGGTTGGACGCAGTAGGTTTTGGCCTGTTCTCGAGGATGACAGTGAAATCATGCATCCATCTATCTACGTCAGAATACGTATACGATGCAGGGCACATGTAAATTCTATGGACACAGAGAATGGAATATTCAGTCAATGGTCTGAAAAATGAGATAATTAGATCAGTATTGGCGCTAAATTTTGCATGGTTGATTGCAAAAACAAAAAACAAAAAACAAAAACAAATTGTTGAAATTTTGATTGGCTATTAATTATCAGCCCTTAAAATATCTTTTTTTTAATAATACTTTAAATATTATAATTTTTAATTTTTTTAATTTAAAACGATTATCGATTCGAATCATCGAGACAATCCGATATAATGGTCTCTTGGCTCTTATTACACTAAATCATTAAAATAGAATATAGAGGCGATAAAAAATTATCTATCTTACGCTCGATATGTATAATGCCCAGAGAGTCTCGATGTCTTATTTTCTATGATAAAAAATAAAATATTCATGATTATGTACTACTATAATTTATAGTGGTACGATAAACCCGGATGGTCTGGGAAGAATCTTGATATCGAAAAATATTGATATTGATGTATCAATAAATCTAAATATATTAATAACATATAAACTATATAGTTTTTTTTGGGGAACAACAGGAAAAAGGTTCCTTGTTCCTTTCAATTTGTATTGATGTGTTTTGGTCTGCCAACTTTAGCTTGGGGTCAGCTGCATGAGTCCTTGATGAAACACAATAAGTGACATATATGAATAATTCCATCAAACTATATGATGGTATTATTCTCAATCCACTTAGTATCTCATGAAAGATTCATAGGCACAGCACATGATATTAATCAACCCCAAGAAAGTGCTCCAGAGTTTTAAATGCCAAAAGTAAAAGTTGGGGGACGGAATGGAATGCTCCTCAGCTCTTCTTCCTTGGAGCCTTGTGAGCAAAAGCAAAGGAGAAGAAGGCTTTTTGTCCTCCTTTTCCCTCTTTCTCTCTGCCTTTAACTTCACACTCCGCACAAACTATTGTGATGGGTTGGGCAAGCAAAAGGACTGCAGCTTTTCTCCATTATCTAACAAAAGCTAAGCTTGTGTTCTGACCAATTGCTTCCCTGTCTCCATGTGACCTCTAATGGAAGCTTTTCATTAAACTAAGCTTATATTTAGTCTAAGATTAAGATGATATTATTATTAATTTTAATATTGATATTTTAAGTTAGTGATTTAGACCCAATAAAAACTATAATATTGATATTTTAATATTCAATAAAAACTATAACATTGAACACATAGCAAAAGGCTTCGGAATTGAAGAGTGAGGAGACTATGAATAATAATAATAATAATAATAATAATAATAAATAGAAAAAAAATTATTTACATTAAATGACTCATAAGATGCTGATATATGAATTCAAACGGGATGTCTAAAATAGAATGACCAGATTCAAGCGTGAACAACAGTCGGACAGCGTGCAGCGTTGTTCTAATATATTGGCTTTTTGGTCCCCCATCTTTTCGCTTTATTACTTTTTGGTCCCTGCGATCATAATGTCAGCGGCAGTCATCATTTCCATCGCACGGCGGTGTGGGAGACAGAATGGAAAAGCAGCGCAAGGCGTGCGGTGATGGGCGCGGCCGACGTGGCGACAAGGCGTGAGGTCAATACCAGGCGATGAGCACCACGAGACGGCGAAGAGACAGAAAGCAAGCGAAGGCCCAACAACTCGGTCGATCCACAGACACGGCTGGGTTGGGGCGAGGAACAGTGAGGCTCGATTCGGTCAACATGAACAATACAATCGAAGGTAGGATGATTATGGTAAACCGCTACCACAGAGTGCACTCATGAAAAGAGTCTTGAGCCTGGAGAGAGACGATCTGGGCTTGTTGATGATAACACCAGGAGACCTCGAGTTGTTGCTCTTGCTCGTTACGGTATGGAGTTGCCGGCGGAGACCGCTGTTCTCTTTCCGAAGCTTCTCTACCTGACTCCACAGATCTTTAATGGCTCCTCTCTTCTCCTCGTTCCTCCTCGTCAGTTCATTCAGTTGCCTGCAGTTTTCCTCCATGAGCGCCAAGGTCTGTTCCGAGCAGGAGATTCTTCTGCGCTCCACGTCCACGACTTCATCGGCCATGGAACCATTTCTCCCCTTACCACACTTTGACCACGTCTCGAGTTCAAGATCTTCCATGCTGGATTCGGGGTTCGAATCGGACTGCTCATACCTGGCAGCTTCGCCAACGATGGAAGACGGCGACGAGCGAGAAGAAGACTGCATGAAATGTTCTGCCAACGAACAATGTAGCCTGTGCAAGCCTTCCACCCTCTTCACCAGCTCTGGTCTCTTACGGCGGCAGACTTCGTCTTCCTCGGCCGAGGAGGAATCACCATCCTCTCGTTTTATGTCTGCCAGCAAAGCTAATATGTTTTCTTCGTACTCTGCATGCACACAGTATCATCCATCTCAATCCTAGCAAGAACATGGAGATGGATCACATAAATTTAGGCTTTGTGAGAAGCAGAAAACCTGATAGTGCTGACTGAAGCCATGGAGACGGGATGGAGTTCCACCACCGAGTATACGAAGCCTTCCCTAACCCAGCATCCATTTCCTCACGTCCAACGTAAACTTTCTCAGCCAAAAAAAGATCAATGGAGTACACATAAAAAGCAAAGGAGGAACGGTAATGTTGGGAAAAAAAAGGAAAAAAGAAATGAGATCTTTTTGGCAATTTAAGGAGTTTCAATTCGCAGAATCAAAATCTTATTGTGTATTATGGGAGCTGTGGTTTTACTACCCTTTAAACGATGACCCATCCGCCTACCCGTTTTTTGATTCGTGCCAGCAATGGACTGGCGAGGAGGAATTGTGTTTCCGGTGGCCGGAGATAATTCGCGTGTCCCGCCACGCGTTAATACCTTATTAATTGGCCATCTCCGGGAAAGAAACCATTGATCGGGGAAGCAACGGTACAGATCAGATACGTATTCTCTTTAATATACAAAGACCGATGTAATTTATTTTATATGAAGTTAATGTATTATTCATTCATGATCGTTGTAATGTTAATAGCCGATGATGCTATTGAGATCCAAAGCACTTCGCAGCTCCCACGGATGCAATCGGGGCGCTAAGATGCTGCATGTACGGTAGAGATAATGGCGTTCGCAAGCACAAAAGCAACAGTACATGAGATCGTAGTTGATTGCAACCGAAGAAGCGTAAACATGGAACCATAGAAGCCCAGTCGAGGCTACCTAACACAACTTTTAACAGAGCAGCAACAATGGAAGTCACAAACTGGAAGCTGAAATGGGATCCGAAGTCGCCTTCTTCCCCGATCCCACCTCCTCGACGTCCTTCGTGTATGGCCCGACCGCCGTCAACCTGCACGGTTAAAACAACCCATCACATCATCTGCATTGCACATCCTGACATAAATCAACGGAAGGAAGGTTGCAAATATGAGGTAACGTGCGGTGTGTGATTTGCATATGCGTATAATTCGGTGGTGCGTGGTTAACTATTAGTCCAAAACAACCATTCCCGTGATCTCGCCACCTCCGCCGTATCGACGGCAATGAATCGGCTCACGTGACAAAAAAATTCTTATTTTAATTACTAAATTGCCATCTTAACGATGACGAGCGTGATGGAATGAATGAACGGACGGCGGAGTCTCCAAGTCCGTGACGACGTTACCTCTGCTTGCGCTTCTCGAAGAATCGCTGCAGCGACTTCCGCCGCGCCATCGGCAGTAGGTCTGCAGGCAGAAGAGAAACAAAAACGGAGGTGAAGATTCGATTTCAAGCACTGTTGAGGATGTCAGTTTTTGGCTGTCACCTCCGGTATGGACGTTTCGTGCATCCCCCTCCTCCGCCAACTTCAAGATAACCTCCGCCTGTTCCGATCGACGAGTTATAATTAGTGTAATGGAGAGAAGGTACATGAGACGGAAACGGGAGGAGCGTCCAACCTTCTCTCGTGGGAGATCGAAGACGGCCACCATGCCGTTATAGAAGATCGTCAGCGGCGGCGTTCCCTTCGATGTCTCCCCGATCGATCTTGAGGATTTTGATTTTGATTTATATTATATTTCGGGTATGGAAATGATCAAAGGTAAGGAGCAGAAAGATTTAGAGAAGGCGAACCGGAAGGACGGATTTAGAGCCGGCATCGTCGACGGAGACGAGGAGGGGAAGAACAGGGTGGTCTCCGCCGACAAAGGAGGCGCTGCGGCCCTCCAAGCGGCACCGGGGGCGATCATGGTCCGAAGAAGCCGAGGGTTGATACCGGAGATCACGCTCTCGATGCCTGAACCGAAGGGTAAAGCGAGTACAACGATCAGATGCTAGAAGGGTAAGGAGAATGCGGTCGATAGCGAGAAGAGATGAACGACCTCGGACGGAGCCTCTTCGATCCACGCCGCGGAACCTGGCGGCGTTCTCCTTCTCGATCCGGAAGAAGTCGAGCTCCACCATGGTCTCGCCCCTCGTCATCTCTCCCTTCTCCCTCAGCCGCTTCCTCTTCTCTTTCCTCTTCCCGCGGGGAGGAGCGCCGATGATAAAACCCCCCGAGGAGGAGCAGCAGCAGCAGCAGCAGCGATAGCGAGAAATGGCGACACGCCTTGCTTCCATCGCCTTTTCAATGCACTCCAGTTACTTTCCCAAACTACCCCTACGCCCACGAAGTAATATCGACCGTAGGCCCGCTCGATCGTCCAATCCAAGGGTCGAAGACTTCAAGTACGGTAGGGGTATCATTGTAATTACAGGAAAGTTAATATTGGGAGGGCATGTGTCACGCTGGTGTCGTGGGCGATCGAAGGGCACGTGACCTACGGGAAGTGGGACCAAACGACACTTCACCCGAACTCGTACCAACGCGGTCGTGGTCTTTTCGCGTACGTGGGTTAAAGGACTGTATACGGATGCGGAAGGAGTGGCCGGCGTTGGGACAGAGAAAACGTGGTTGGTTTCGGTGGGGGAGAAAGAGGAGGTGGTGGGTGGCGGGATTGGGGGGTGGCAGGGGAACAGAGAGGATGTTGTGGGGTTGAGGTTGGTGGAGGTGGAGGTGGAGGTGGAGGTGGCGTCCGCCGCAAGCTTTCGCACCCACAAGGCGTCGCTTGTGACGGGTAGGTCATACGCATCACACGGGCGGCGTGACCGCCATGAATGAGGTTTGTTAGGATTGGGACTGTGCTGGTGGGATTCTTCACATGTCTCCTTGGTGCTTGCGGGTGTCAGTGAGTCTAATTGTCTTCGTTTAGGCGACCAATTAATTCTTTTTCGGAATTATTCTGTCCCTCAAATCAAAAAAATATTTGACCGGAGAACTAAAAAGCTTGGCGAGTTATAATATTTGATGGTTCCAAATACGCTAACTCAATGATTAATATGATATTTATGTCGATCACATTCTAAAAATAATTACATCTAGAGTTAACCATATCTTCAAAAAGATAATTATGTTCCTAAGCTGATTGCATCATCAAAAGAATCTTATCCTCGAGATGACCATCATTAGTATGTTTTAAGTTGTCAATGCCTAAGTTGCCTTCACATTTATCATATTGCTAAAATATTGAAGATCCTATCCCCTAAGTCAATCATATCCTTAAAAAGAATTATACCATCAAGATGAGCATGCTCTTATAATAACTATGCCCTTAAGGAGGTCAAATTTTCATATTTTAATAATTAGTTGATCATAATTTTGAGTCAATTGAAATAAGATGAGCTAGACTTTAAGCATAAAATCATAATCATGTTATTATGTGAAATGAGTTTAATATCAAAATTTAAAATTAAATAATAATAAATCAAGATTAGGATGTATACTTTCCAACATCATTCTATGTATATTTATTTAATTCATAGAACTAGACTCGTATTCTCATTATTCCTATGATCACTATAAGTGATATAATATAGATAAAAGGGAGATAAAAATATATCACATATTGTATGTAGTCCTTATGAAGTCCTATTTATTTATAGATGAAAACAAAAGATATAGAATAATTATAATTATAATTTAATTAAAATTATAATATATATTATTTAATTAAATATGATCGCATAATATAATATAACTTATCATGTTGGTTGCTGTCAGATGATGAATTACTTAAGTTGGAAGAAAGAATGACAAACACAAACCAATATTTGACTAGCCATAAACCTCTCAAATATAATATAAGGCAAATAATATAACTAATATTTTTTATCAATCAAAACATGACAAACACAAACCAAATCAACTCGAATATGATAACATATTGATCGAATATATAACATTAACGTGACATCCAAAAAGATGTTTATTTCGATTTACAAAACAAACAAAGTAAGCTCACCATGTTTTGATTATGAACTTGATCATTAAAGTAGCCTTATTGGATGCATCTACATACAATCTTTTGCTAGATCATACTGAAATAATATACAAGAAAAACACTACATTTTTTTTGTATTAAAGTAAAAAATCCTCCTCCAGGATATTAAACTTTTTTTTGAAATCCTTATCAAGTAATTAAAATTTTTACTCAAATAAAAGATTATGTTACAATATTCAAATAATATATTATGTTGAATCAATTTTATTATATCGAATTGATAAATAAAATTAACCGTATTACTGAGTGCTCGAAACATATTGAATCAATTTGGTTGGTTATCGGGTGGAGAGTGATTCATGATAGGACATATTTTAGTATACCTGTCATGATAGCACGATCAACTAGGCCCCACCACCCCAGCCTCCTTTTCACGCTCGAGCTAGGGTCGTCGAGTACAACCCTAGCCAAGGAACCTGGGTCGATGCTATCAAGATCAGAACCGACCCCGAGAAATCGGGATGACATCATCAAGTACAAAAGCTGACCCCGAAAACTCAGGATAGCACCGTCAAGTACAAAAGTTGACCCCAAAAACTCGGGACAGCACTATCAAGTACAAAGCCGACCCCGAGAACTCGGGACGACGCAGCCAAGTACAAAACTGCCTTGATGCAGACATCGACCACCCATAAGGTATGAGCTAGCCGCCTGTAGGGGTCGGCAGTGTTGAATCTCAGATTTTGATGATAAAATCAATTAATAAGTATTTATCTAATGTGTGTTTAAGTGACGTGGGACTAGCTTCGATTAGAAAAGGCAAATTGATTAAAGCAGGAGAAATCGGACGTTGGGCCGGAGCAAACATGTTAGAAGATTGAACGTCGGGCTGGAGGATCGATCGACGTATCGACAGAAGGCTTCGGTCCGTGAATTCGGGCATTAGGCCAAGAAGAGCAGATATTACGCTAAGAAAATCGGAGTTGCATAGTCAACATGCCGATTGGACAAAAGGCCCCAAAAGAGGACGATGTGTCAAAGGATCAGACGAACCGCCGGATTAATCAATGACATGCCGTATAATATGGGATTTGCTTATAATTGTTTATGTCTAGATCGAGTTAGTTTAGGTCTAATTCAGTCAGTATTGGGATGAAACAATGCTAACTCAATTAGGGGTCAATTTGACCTAAACTGGGAGTGATTTGGGCTCATTGGGAGGCCCATTCAATGACCCAAATGTTGGGTATGGCGGTAGAATTGCCTATGAGTTGAAAAACTCGAAAAACTCGATCTCCGAAGCTGTCATGCGGTGGTACTGTATAGTGTCAGGCTACATGCGATGGTACCACCGAGTGCAAGCGGTGGTACCGCCCATACCCAGAAGACTGAATTTTAGGCTCCATTTTTTAAACCATTTGGGGCTTATAAATACCCTACTTGGGCAGCAAGAAATGAGCAAAAATTCTAGAGAAAAAAATTGAGTAAACTCTACCAAAACACTGAGTTCCCTCCTCCTAGTGCTTAGAGTTAGTCCTAAGAAAGGTGTGTGAGGGAATACTTATAAAAGAGTGACTTGTAAAGATTATCTCCTAAACATGTGAAAGGGAGAAAGTATCGTAAGATGATAGTTGGTCTTCACCCATTGAAGGAAGACCGTTAGTAGATACCGATAGCCTCGACGGAAGAGGAATTAGGAGTGGACATAGGTCACGATAACCAAACCACTATAAAAATCTGGTTTGCTTTTCTTTTATGCAATTTACCTTACTACAAATCTCCTTACTTGCATTGCTTTCTCATTACACTCTTACGAACGCTTTGAAGTTTAATATCTTTCCGAGATTAGTTTTATCATACCAAAGATTTTCAAATCGACGTGATTTTATCTCACTAATTCACCCTTCCTCTTAGTGCCGACTCATTCCTTAGGCAGTCATTAAATAAACCCTGTACGATCAACCTTTACGCGCAAGTATAAGAGACAACTACCTAGCTACGCCAGGGGAGGCTTTTTTTCTAGAATAACTTGGGAGAAGACTTTGAGTGAGATCCAACTCCACTAACTTGACCTTCAGAGAGTTCGGGTTGGGAAAACATCCCCCTGACTTTGACATGTGTGCAGGGCCCGACGACAAGGAAGCAAATGACGATCTACTCCGTTCGACCCAACCCGACGATCGACCCAAAGTCTTCGTGGGCACCTCCTTGGACATCCGAAGCTGAACCTAGACATGCTGATTCCCGACCACAGTGTAAAGTTAACTAACAATTCATAAGTTTCGAGAGGATAATTAATGTGACCATCGACTTACTGTTTTAATACCAAAAATCCACATTCGATCAGACTTACTGTTTATATTAACAGAAAGATAATACATTAACTGAAAAAGATAATATATGAGACGATTTGTGGCTTGTAAAAGTGGTTCACTTAATATATTATCTTTTTTCTTTTAAGAAAGAAGTTATGTAATTATCTTATTATGCTAACGCAACTTTGATATTTGCTATGCAATTTACTTATCATTTCTAATCCCACAACACATTCTGATGTCAAAATATGACATTTCAAAAATGTTTAGGGGTTTCCCCACAAAAGTGCAGCCCTTCTATTAAGAGAAGAGGGGGGTGTGTTCCGTTTCGGACCCTCCCAAAACCCTAATCTCCATGGCCGAGGGTGAGACCAATGTCGAGCCCCATTCCCATCCCCAAACCGTAAAACCAGAATCGAATCCCCTGCCACCCTCCAAGCGCAAGCCCGACTCTGAAGCCCTCGTGGAAGAAGAGACGAAGCATCGGAAGCTCGAGGTCGCCTCTGATCCTGCACCTCCGATCCAAGACGGCGCCAACGAGGACGAACCGGCCGACGCTAATGGGGACCGGAACGCCGCTGTCGATAAGGGGAAGGGAGTGCTCACCGCGGTGGACAAGGGTAAAGGGATAGCGGTCGATGAGGAGGGCGAGGAGGAGGAAGAAGAAGACGGGGGCGATGATAAGGACAGCGACGACAGTAGCGATGTGGGTAGTGGCGACGAGATTGTCGGAGAGGAGGACGATGACAGTGATTTCGTCGATGATCCACTGGCGGAGGTTGATCTTGAGAACATCCTGCCTTCAAGGACGCGGCGACGGGAGCCTCCGCCTCCGGGGGCTTATTTCGACCCTGATCAGCACGAGGATGACAGCGATGACAGTGAGTAAAATGAGATGAGGCTCAAAGAAGGTAACTTTTACTGGCAATTCTTTTTGATCTGATGTTCATCCTATCGTTAGGGATGGGAATCCTATGCGAATTATTGAATACCCTCAATTGGATATTGTCCAATTGAAACATGATGACCTATCTGCGTAAGCAATCGCGTTCTGGTTCGTAAGTTCGCCCTTGCGATTCTCAGATTATTGTCACTATTAGTTTCCTTTTGGTGAAATAATTTTAGGCATTATGATGAATGCTGCAGAATTAGGAGTCTTTATATGGTCGATATTTAGCAGATGAAGGAGCTCTTTGTATTGAGTTTAACTATTTGTAGGCTTTATTTTGTTATTTACTTGGTCTGAAATAGATTTTTCTGTTTGCAAAAGCTGGATAAATCCAAAAGCTGGATAAATCCAATCACTGGTTACTTCTCATCAGTTTAGATTTCTGTAGGCAGTAGCACAATGCAGGTGTATCTGCAAAAACAAATCACACGTTGTACTTTGCCCACCAAGACTCGGGTTGTGTAGCCTCACCCTAGCTATCCATTGCTATAAGAACATAGGAATAGTGAAAAGTGAATACATTACTGTCAAAGGAGATGAATCAGTGATATCTGTTATTACATCATAAAGGAACGAACCCACAGTTTTTTCTCAAGATGATAGCTTTGCATTCAGTCAAGACTACAAGGGGCTGTGCTTATCACTAGTTATTTTGGCTTCTAGATAGAGCTTAAAGGAAGAGGGCTGTTGAATGAATACATTGTTGAACTCTGGAAATTGTATTAATTATTGCAAGCAAGGAGCTATGCTTTGGTTCCTAACTTTCTTTCAGTAGAATGTCTTGATTGTACGTATTCTCTGTGCTATTATCATATTGGGATGGTATTACCTATTGAATTACACTTGTATACTCTACGTTGTTGAGATTGGATGCATAGAGTAGCAAAGCTGAGTAATGGGCTTCTGTTTTACCAGTCAATAATTTCAGAAGCTACTCAATAGTTTTGTAAATCTTATCATGAGTCTTGTCATTTTAAATGGGAGATATTAGTTTTTGCTATACCTCCTGAAATATTTATTACCTTCTGAGCCAGATTAAACAATGACTGCTGGGGTTGTGAAATCTTAAGGGAACCAAGTAATATGCCTTTTGTTTCTCGTGATTTTTTTTTTGTCTTTGTGGCAAGATTACTACTTTCAACTATGATCTGTATCAACATATTGCTATTTTTTTTGCTTAGTAATGTAATTTTTTCTATGCAGGAAACTAGAAGTTGGCAAGGATCAAGTTACCATTTTGCTATCCATGCAGTAATGTGTCCTGTGATCGCCACTCACTGTTAGTTTGCGTTGAGTTTCTTCACTTCTATTTTTCCATGAGAAGGAAGGATATGGATGGTTATCAGCACTTTACTTGCTGATCTGAACTGTATAACATAGAAAGAACAATATGGAAGGAACAGTATTTGCTTGATCTGAACTGCAGAGCATAGAAAGAACAATATGTATATCTGAGTTCTTAGGGTGGTACAATGAGTTGCATTGATATAATTTTTCCATTGATGGAAAGCACAGTTGACATTGCTTCCAAGCAAATTTTCCTCTGATTGATTATACTGCTGATATCAGAATGAAGTTTATCCTAAATGTTTTCAATGGGAATAGCGTATTTTCTACTATCCTAAATGTTTATTCCGCTAAATTGTTGTGTTATCAGTGCATGAAAAGCTTTAGGAAACTAAATTGCTTGAAAGAAATATAAAAATGTGTTTGGTGTCAGCTGACAAATAGGATAAGCAAATGTGTTTACCTGAGTAGATGAGTTCTTTGCCCCGGTGTGGCACGTTTTACATGGTGGATTTGATCTGATGTTGATATCAGTCTTTGATTTAATGTGGTGGCCCAGCCTGTCTTCAGGTGTCACTTTGACTACATATTAAAAGTTAGGCATTGATATTATTCCTTCCAGATTGGGAGTCTGTGGGTGTTGACCATTAAAACATGGCCATGTTTATTGGTCTTCTCTTGGAGTTTGGGAATCTGTGGGTGAACATTAAAACATGCTCATGTTTAATATTGATGTCAGGACAATTAATTTAGGGACTGTATATAACCTTAATATAACTTTTTTGGCAGGCAGGCCTACTCTGCTTTCGTTTCGTTCACTACACTGCGTTTCTCTCTCTCTCTCGTTTGGCATCGGCTGTGGGCTTCGCCTTCGGCGATGACGGCCCCCAACATCGAGACGATCGCCGCCTCGCTGAGGAGCTGCTCGTTGGGGGGAGGCGGACGAGCCGAGCAGTCGCTGCCGCGGCCGCACCTCGTGGGGGCCAGCGGCGAGAGCAATGAGGGGATCACGGTGGAGTTGAACTCGGACGCCGCCCTCCCGTACCACCTTGACATGCTGGTGCGATCTCCCCTCCCTTCTTTAAATGCTCTTCTCCCTGGTGTCGCCAATCGTCGATCATAAATGCAGTCATGACCTCAAGAAAAAGTCCTCTCTTCACATGGGATACGTGCAGCTGCAGAGTGGCGTGATCAGCTTTGTGATTGCTTCCATTTCCATTCAAATCTATGCCTACAATTGATTCTTTAGTATCTGATTACTTTGCATTGCGCAGTTTGCAGTGTGCTTGGGATTTTGCAGATCAATCAATAAACCCTCCCATCTCATCACTCGTTATCATTTGGCCAAATGATCCCAAATAACTAGCTGAGAGATGACAAATCATCGATGATCGTGGTTGAAGTTGGAAGAACTTTCTCAGCCGTGCAACACCTGACGCAGGTATTAATTATCGAACTAGTTTACCTGTAGAAGCTAAAACCTGATCTCTCTCTCAAATGGTGGCTTCTGGTTCTGCACTGCTGCATGAAGTACCAGGTAGGGTTAGCGACAATGAAGAAGAGTTCTGGGTCCCGCATGAAGGATAAAAGCCTCTTAGAGTAGCCAAGGAGACTGCCTACAGAAAACTCAATACAATTCATGATGTGCTTCGATGGCATGCATCCTTGAAGAGACTGTAGGCAAGTCATCCTTGGCTTGACAAAGACACTCTTATCCTCATGGAAGACCCTTCTTCTGCTCCATAATTTCATATGTGAGTCCCCCTATTTATAATGCCGGAGAGAGAATTAAGGCTCAATATTTCTTCTGAGGCATGGTTTTTGACTTTTTCTTCTTTGCAGAACATATTCTCTTGATCTTCTCGGATCAGTTTTCTGCAACTACACAATCCTGTGCACAAAAAGAGAGACATCAAGTTAGCAATATCTTCCTAGTTTAATCCTTGGGAACAGTTCTAGTTGACAAGAGATACATTGACCTTGTTAGGTCTTTCAAGTTGGCAGGAGATGACTTTATCCAAGTCACAAGGATTAGCAACTTGCTCAAAGTTGGAAAAGGACTCCAAATCTTTCTGGAAAAAATGTGTATCTTCGTGAACTTTTTGTCTTGTCATGCCTGGTGGCTATACTATTGGAATCCAATAGATATCAATGATATCCACCACTTGCTCCCTCCAAATCGCATGACCCTTTGTGCAGGTTCTTACTGTTTATTCTGAAGAGACGACCACTTAGCCTGCATTACTCTGTCCCAAATCTTAACCCAATCAATCGAAGCATACATGGCACCTGATAGCTTAGACATTAAAGCTTTCATTCCATGGATTGGAGTCATTGAACAGCAACACCACAGTCACTGCTCTGTTACACAGCTTTCAACCTTGGGCTTAGCTTTGTCTATGCCCTGTCAAGAGCAATTTCCAGGTGAACCAGTGATCAGAACACTGACAGGTGTTTGCAGAGTAATATATGGGAGGAAGAAAGAGCAGAAGGCGGTCACATCTTTGAAAGTAATGCATGCTGCATGAGTCCTAGATTCTGTAATTAATATGTCAGTCTTTATCACTTCATATCTCCATAAGCACATGCAACTGTGTCTTCCACTAAAGAGCATCGAGTCTTGGAAATTCTTCTTAAACAGTTGCTCACTTTATTCTCTTATATGCTGCAAAGATCTGGAAATGCTTTTTCTGTGAATGATTGCCAGACTGACAGTGGTTTCAATCAGGTGAATATAATTCCAGGGTCATTTGTGAGCTGTTCATCTGAATGAATCTTGCCTGTTGTTTGTTCATGCAGGCAAAAAGCCATACTTTAGCCTGAGTGAAACCAGAATCTACATCCACATGATCAGGCATCAAGTCATGCCAAAATCTTCTCTCTCTGCAACTTCATGGCAAGATCATTACATTAATGTTGGCCATGTGCTAATCATATTTTACTGGCAGCTTAATTATTGGAAGGTACCTCTTAGACCCCTCCAAAATAGTTTTTTTTATTATGTGCAGTACATGTTAAGCAAATCAAGGTATATATATAATTTTCTAGTCCATGAATTATATATACTCTTATATTCATGCATACTTGTCCTAATGATCTATGTATTAGCATCTTATGAGTTAGAAATCTGTGTCTTTTGATTTATTCTCATAATCATTTCTCATCTCTCTCTTGAGCCAACTCAAGATGTCAAACTCTCGTCTATTCCACGAGAATCTCTCTCTATTATCTTTGTTTTCTTACCTTTGCAGATCTTTCTCTTCACTTGCCACAACAATTGATGTTTGCCCTGCCACCAGCTTCCTGTAAGTTGACTGACTTCATGAGAAGAAGCAGTAACAATTAACGCACAAAATATTTGTCCTACCATCATTGGCTCTCCTGCATTAGTTGGTGGACACTGCATTTTCTCCAGCAAATTCCCAACGTTTGTTCATGAATGGATGCCGAAATAATGTCACCAAAATCGTATACTGTGGATGCATAATCGGTGGGTCAAAATCACATTTCCCAAAGTCAACACAAAGTGGCATCCTCCTTTCCACGGGTCAACGAGCCACGCCACCGTGACATCCACGTCAAAGCCAAAAAGCTTAAAACGTGCACCCATAATATACCCATCATTCTTCCTCTGCCCTGCACATGCGTTCTCCCCTGAAACCACCTGTTTCCTAACCCAAGCCCGTTTATGCCCAGAATCGCACCGCCGAGTTTAATCACCCGATTGGTGATGTGCACGTGGGACCCACTTGACGTCGTTCACCGGGCGTCGTCGAGTCTTTTAAGAAGTGGATGGAAAGGTGACCGCGACTCCTTGCCTCCGCTTTACACCGGCTTTGATTCCTTCGCTTCTTTTGGCTTTCGGTTTGGATTCCACTGTGAACACTGTGACTTGCGGCTGCTATTCGTCCTTTTGCTGCTTTCCCGATGTGCCCCCGTGTTGCTGCCGCCATGGAGGCTGCGCTCCCCGCCGACGATGGCGACGAGCTCCCCCGCTGCCGCCACCTCCTCGCCTCCCTTTCCGCCGCCGCTTCCACCGCCCAGTCGTTCCGCGGCCTCTGGTCCTCCGTCGCCTCCGCGGTCTCCCGCCTGTCCGCGGCCCTCGACGGCCTCGCCGCCCACTCCCCTAACCCCCTCGCCTCGGACCTTCTTCGCTCCCTCGCCCTGACACTCGCCCCAGCCCTCGCCCTCGCCATCCGCTGCCGTTCCCCTGACCCTCCCGCCGCCAGGCTCCGCACCCAGAGCGATATCGCGGCCGCTTCCGCCGCCCTCCACCAGCTAGCCGCCGACGCCGACGTCCTGCTCGGCTCTGGCGCCCTCCTCGACCCGCCGTCGCCGCCGCTGGAGGCAGCGGGTGGGAGCTCCCGCCTCGAGTCCGTCCGGGCGGAGGCCAGAAGCCTCGTGACCCGCCTCCAGATCGGGAGTTCCGCTTCGAGGATCGCTGCCTTGGATTCTCTGCTCGACCTGCTTCGAGAGGACGACAAGAACGTCGTAGTCGCCGCCGCCAGCGGGTTGGTGCCGGCGCTGGTCCGTCTCCTCGACTCCGCCGCTGGCTCCGCCTCCTGCCACGAGACGAGGGAGAAAGCTGCGGCGGCGATCGCGAGGATCTCGGCCGTGCAGAGCTGCCGCCACCTCCTGCTGGCGGAAGGCCCGCCCCTCCTCAATCACCTCTCCCGCGTCCTGGAGTCCGAGGGAGGCGCCGCAAAGGAGAAGGCCTGCGTGGCCCTCCAAACCCTAACGCTAACTTGGGAAAACGCGGTCATCATCGGGTCCCGCGGCGGGATCGCAGCCCTCCTTGGGATCTGCCGCTCAGGAACGCCCTCCGCCCAGGCCACCGCAGCCGCAGTGCTGAAGAACCTCGCAATGGTTCAAGAACTCCGGCAGAACTTCATGGAAGAGAACGGTGTCCCCGTCCTCATTAGGGTTTTGGCCTTCGGGACCCCTCTTGCCCAAGCGAACGCTGTCGGTTGCCTCTGTAATCTATCAGCCGGCGAAGAATCGCAGAGCATAAAGCTATCTATCTTCAAAGAAGGCGCTTTGGAATGCCTAAAGAACCACTGGGAAGCAAGCGGCAGCGGAGATGTTCAAAACCTCGAGGCTGCAATCGGCTTACTAGGAAATCTGGCATCTTTTAGGTACATTGCTGAGATCGTTGCCACCGCTGGTTTGCTTCCTCGTGTCATCTCTGCACTGGAGAACAGCCAGCCAGGAACAAGAACAGAGGCAGCCAAGGCAGTCGCCGAATTGGGTTTGGTCATAGGGAGGACGAGGAAGGAATTCGGGGATGCGGTGCCTCTACTGGTTCGCATGTTGGAAGCCAAAGCTGGGGAGGAGAAGGAAGCTGCCGCGAGGGCTTTGGCTTCTCTGATGTCATTCCCGGAGTACCAAAGATTATTGAGGAAGGAGGAGAAGGGGATTGTTAATGTGGTTCAGCTCCTTGATCCTTTAGTTCGTGATTTGGATAAGAGGTATGCGATATCGGTATTGGCATTGATTTCGCAGTCGAGCAAATGCAGGAAGCAGATGGTGGCTGCAGGAGCTTGCGGGTACCTTCAGAGACTAGTGGGGATGGAGGTGGATGGTGCAAAGAAGCTTCTTGAGAACTTGGGAAGGGGAAAGATACTGGGAGTGTTTCCAAGAACATAAGCTCACAGAGCCAGCAAGAAGGATTCTAAGTTTGAAGGGTGCTGCTCCCTGATCTGTATGTAACATTAACACCATCTCAGTAATTGTTTTCTTCAACCTTTCGGTAGATGATTTTGTTACGATATCGTGGTGTACATGCTTTCGATTGTTGAGTTCTTGATGAGGTTGTTAGTGTGTGAGTAGAGATAGAGAACAACCAATCCCATGCTAAAATTTTCAGTACTTCTAAAAGTCAATGTCTACATTATATTTCTAACTTTCTCTTCCGTAGTAATTTTTATGCTGCATGTTACTGGTAAATCTGAATTTAAATATTTTGATTGGTTAATGCAGAACATGCATTTTACGCACATAGTTTGCGTAGTTTGTGATTACTTGCTGCATCACCAACAGGATCTTCGTAGGAAAGACCTTGTGTTCCATACTCTTTTTAGGTCAAGTAACGTTGCCAAGTGAATCTTTGCGTCGAAGAAGTCCTTTCGGAGGGAATCTACTGTTGTTAGCCCTTTTTCTTTTTTACATTTTATTGAAGAAAGACAATGGATAGCTTGTCTAACCTTTCCACCAACCGCAATATACAACAAGGCATCATGGAGCCTTTGGGAACTAATTATTTGGTCTATTACCACAAGAAGAATCAAAGGTGAAGAAATTATGAAAGATCTATTGGCATATGAGATACAATTCTTTCAGGCTTGCCCACTGAAACAACATTGGGATCTGCCTCCTCTGAATGTCCTGTCCTTGTGCCTCCTAATGCAGCAGGTATGTATTATTTTGGATTGCTCACAATAGCTCAGTTGCAATTTCTTTTAGAACTTGATTATTATGTCCAAATTAATTAGCATATGAATTGTTGGGAAACCCCACTTAGCCACTTATGGATGGAATATTTTGATATTTGATTGATGAATTTACTCTTGAATGTCTTACTCGATAAAACCTTGTGCTTCTTCCATGTCCTGACAACAGAGTTCTAAGCTTATACAGTGATGTATCTTTATACTTGACAGCAATACCCTTTTCTCCATTTGCTGTATTGATTTGCTTGTACCAAACTTGACACTCACCTATTGGCTTTGCCAATCTCATAACCACAGTTTTGCATCATCATTATGTTTTGTTTAAAATGGAGGCCTGACAAGTGATGAGTGAAGATATAGACAACAATGATACCTCTAAAAAGTTGTTCCTGTCAATACTTGTTGTCTGAAGCACAAGCTGGCTGATCTCATCCCTGAATACACTACTATATTTGCTTCTGGTACTCTCAGGCTTCCCTCACCTAAACCTCTGGTTCATTAATAAGAACTGGATCAGGTCACTGCATTCTTCTCATCCAAGTGCCATATTGACACGGACTTAGCTGGTTTTGTCTAAGTCGTGCGGCACCCTTGCGTGTCCGTCCGCAAAGGTCAGCCTCCCCGAAGCCTCCCATTGTCCCTTAGGACCATCAAAAGAGAGAACGGGTTAGAGAGAACGCCTCAAACGGGATCCACAAGCAAACATGTCCGAAAAACACTTCATAGACAATGCAAATTACAAACAGACTTTACAAGCTCTGAACAGTGGCACAACAAAGGGTAAAATGGTCCATTACAGATCGAAAAGCTCTCG